AATCAAAGCACACCGCATCCTCCGATCGGCTGGGCTCCGAGGCCTCGAAACGGTGAGGGAAACGCGGACGCGAGCCTTCATCCAGGAGGCTGCCATGAATACATCGGATTGCGATTGACGCCGGCACCAATCAGTGGATCCACCGGTCCGTCGCAGGCTATTTCTATTCGTCTGCAATTGAATCCCATGGTATCATCGGGAATCGTAAGGGAATCTTGTACGGAGCCGCCTGAGGATAACCGCATTTTCGGTAATTAGCATTACGGGTGTACGCGTCTGCAATTTGTATCGGAGGGCCTCTGCGCCGATGCGATTAATTACTTGGTCGTCTGTGTACGTCGATCTGCCTCCATACACGAGTTGCTTTGACGTTTTTCGAGCTGTCACCGACAAACATACGCGAAGGGCCTCGGGTTCCGCATTCGAAAGCCTGCTGCTGCCGCCGTGCGGCTTCTCCTCCGCCCAAGAGCCTATTCAATCGGAACCAGCCGTACATGTCATACCAGGGAGTTTGGAGGAGGATCTTCCGTCGATAAGGGTCGCAGGCTTGCTTCGGGCTCCGGTCGGGTCGGTCCAGCTGGAAGGATAATCGGAATCAAGCGCCGTCGGTGACCGCATTCGGTCGTCGGTAGGAGTCTGGATGCACAACAACGTCGTTGAAGACATCGTCGACGTTGATTGTAACTAGGAGACGGATGTGCAGTATAACAGAAAGGGTATAACAACTTCGCAACTACTTTTGGCTGGCGTGGAGCAATGTGCTCATTAATTTCCCCAAATGAGAGTGTCTTGATTCCGCGCTTCCGTGTGACGAGCTTCCTCCTCATTCGCCGCCTGTCCCGAGCCGCCTGTCCCGAGCCGCCCGTCGTTCTCCCGTTCGCCCGGCCGCTTTCCAAAGGCGGTTCTTCCAGCAGCAGCGCATAAGATATATGGTTCTATGGAAGACTGTCTCCGGGACGCAATCAACCGCCGCTACCGTCACGGCAGCCCTTTCATAAAGAGCCCTAGTGTTTTCCTTTCCATGCTCATTCATTATTCTAACCGATCTCGAACGACTCGCTGCCGACTGTACGATTCCGCCGCCGCCGCCGCCGCTCGACGCTTTTGTTCTCGCCCACGAGCAGTGATGATGGTCGTCTGATGGAACGGTTCCTCGCACGAGCGTGCAATTATCATCGCCTCGCAGAATTCCGGGGATCGTCGTAACTTTGCCTGTCGCCCGCTCCCTCCCCACCAGACTAGGCTCTGGTTTCCGGAGGAGGCTCGTATATCCTTGTAGCCGATCTCCTGAATTTTCGTGAAAGACTACGAAAATTCAGGGGATCGGTGATCCCCACGGAGCACCGTGCGTTAGGCCTGCACTCGCATCGTCCCGGGCTCCCCAAATCGTAAACGATACTGAAGGAAAGATGGAAAACGCGAAGTATCGAGCTTTGAACTGACAAGGATTCGGAGAGCCGTCGCTTCGTGTTGTGTGATTGTGAATCTCCCGGAAATTGACCATCTCGGGTTTGGACCACAGCTTGAGTGTCGCTCGGATGCTCGAGTTCTCCACGCCTGAGAATCCCTATCAGCAGATCGGATCGATCGTGAATCTGAACAGTCCGCGAATGTGTCGGTAGCAGATCGTTATAAAGCGAAAGGTTCAATAAGGAGTTCGTCTTAGCGCGGAATTCGGAAGTGCTCCTCAAGAATCATGAGAGTGATCCACGCGGGACTCGATCGCACTATATCCCTTACAAGACATAGCATCGCTCCGAACACGTTTGCTCCGCAGGATCGATGAATCGACGTTTATACACCGACACCAACGACTCTCCGCATCTCTCGACCACTCGACAAGGTCAGCTTGGAAACCTCCAGGGAGAAGGGTTGGAAAGAATTTTCGACTACGTGGAGTCGCGAGAAATCCGGCTCGAACTCTGGAATCGTAAAGAGTATGACACAAGAGAACGCGTTCCGTCCAGGGCTGTAAACCAGATAATCAGACGGCAAGGAGGGATCCTATGCAAAGTGACTTGATCAGCAAAAATCCTGGTCCCCCTGTGTCCGCCTACGTGACGCGCATCCTCCAGGTGCGTGGGGACCATGTGGTTCGTCAGACTCGCGGGTCACTCGACTCAGCGCCGAACTCTTGCAGAACCAGTTCCGAATCCTAGCGAGAGCAGAAGGGATTTTTTGTAATACTCAGTGACTTATTGCCCTTCACAAGAGTCGTCCCGGTCCTCTGGATAATGCTTCACGTTGACTCAAGTCCGTGCCCCCGTCTGGGACACGCCGAGAATAACGACACCATCAAACGGGGGTGTTCCTGCTCCTTGCCTGTCTCGGTCCTCTGTCATTGTTGACAAACCAGTCGTCAGGGAACGACAATTAAGACAATGAATATCTCCTCGCCTCCTCCTGTGACGTTTCGACTCCCTACAATTCGAACGGGGGAATCGGGAGTTCCTTCTCGCTTTAGTCCGGGCCACATTCCGGAGTCACACACATTTGAACCGAGTTCCTCATGAGAGATTCCGACGTCGCGATTCGTCCCGCCATTGACGTTCCCGATTGGGCCTTCTCTATTTTTGCCCGAACCCTTCAATGGGTCCCATCTTTGTCGTTCCGCTCTACGTGACGCTCGTCCGCCGTGCTTGTTGATAGCATATCTCCATTTTCACGTATCATCGACGACATCATAGAATGAGTGTGCTTCCAGCGAGCGAACGCGGCGAGAAGTTTCTCCGTCGCACGGTCTTTATCTCTGGTTCGTTCTCCATTAAAGGATACAAATGTTCTGCATGTCCCGCGGCTGAATGTGAATGTTCCGTCACCAGACCGCCAGCCATCGCCGTCCGCTTGAATCACCGTCCCCGGTTGCAACCTCGCCGATGGCCATTCCGACGTTCGCGAGACAATGATCACAAGATAGGAGGTACACGCACGAGAGACCGAGGAGCCGATCGCACCGACGAAGAACAAATGCTCAGATAACGGAAATGATTTCAATAGAAAATAAGGCTCTCTCCGACGTTCCGTCGGTCGTAAACCGGAACGTCTACCACCGGAACCGCGAGAAGTTCCTGAAATCGCCAGCGATGGACCGCAGATTCGACGGGGTAGCAGACGGCTTGATCGTGGGAGTACGTCGGCAACTTTCAATTTTATCGTGACGCACACGCGATCCTCCGTCGAAAGACCACACATCCCCACGTAGAACGTAAACTTTCGAAAGAAACCGCAAAAAGTTCTCTATCGAGATGCACGCGACGTCGATTCAGAAACGAATCACGCGAGTTCTGTACGATGCCTCTCAGAGGCTCCCGGAAGGGTTCTGCGAGCGGAGGCTCAGCCCTGAATACAACCCGAGAGGGAAACTCTCACGAGGTTTTCCAGCTGGATGATTTTAGGGAAGCAGAATCGTTGTGATTAAATTCTCCTCCTGTGACGAACGATGGGATCCGACCATTGAGATGTCCTTATGACACGGCTTCTTTTCCAGGAAATCTTTCCACGACGAAGGAGACCGCTTGATCCTTTCGGGGAAGAGTTTGGCAGCACAAGCCAGTCATTAATGTTCCGGAGAGGATGGCCAAGATGACGGAGTCGCATGAAACTCCCAACCACGAATGTCTACTCACCACGTCCTCAATTAGTCAGAAGTGGGGCTCACAATTACGATGATGAGGAGTCCCGTAGGCCCCAGGGTCAACCGAGTGCCATTCGGCATGACACCGTACAGGCATGTGAGGAAGCGGTCAGAAGTTTTGGCACAGGAGACAGATCACCCCATCAGGGGAAGTCTCTCATCGCAGGTTCTCTCGAGAGGTTTGAAGGTTTAGGGAGGCTCAAACTCTGCCGCTCAAGTGTATACGGGCCAGGTGCCAGGTAGACCAAGCTTATCTAATTAGTATTCGATTTCACTCCCGGGGCGAGGAGCTCAAAACCCGCCGCTGTGTGCCGTGCTGCTCAGAATGGGGTGTCTCGAAAAAGTCGACGATGAAATCCCGGTGAGAATTCGCTGGACGTTTGGGAGAGGAACTTTTCTTTTCGAAGTGACTTTCCGCGTATACATTGAGCTTGATGGTCCTCTTCCACCGATCCTGCAAACATGTGCGGCACGGCGGACCGTATAAAATATCATATCGCACCGACATCGGGAACAATGGCCGCTAACGGTCGTCCGACGTATCCCTGATGGCGACTGCACGCTGCACGTGACCATTTTGGGAGGGAAACTCCCTATCGACACTAGATCGTACAACCAGCGAATTTTTGTCTGCTTCACGCGCGCATTCGAGCCGGAAAAGTTTTATTCCTTCGAGGTTAATGACGCTTGCGGCGATTTATAGTTTTTCCTTGACTGTTTTTTTATTTCGCTCAGCCTGATGATGGAAACTTTTTCAGCCATTCGCAATTATGCGATTAGTCGCCCTGGATTTTAGAGCCTCATTTTATTCCCCTCGTAAAAGCCCAGACGGGCGACTCTTTCGAGGAAAACTCGAAACTCTCCCGGATCCTGATAAAGCCGTAAAACACCGTTGTTCTCCCCCTTCTCCGGGAGCGGAATCGCTCCGATTAGAGTTGTCGCTTGCTGGTGTATATCATACGATTGGACGGCGTGACGCGTGATCTTGACAAGAAGGAACTTTCGACTCCGAGGAAACAAGGCTCGAACTCACATGGCTCATTCGAAATCCCGGTAACCTCAGAAAACAGTGAATCGTCCAGCACGTGGCGCGCCTTCGGAACTCCTTAGAAGTACCTACCATCTTCGGCGGAGGGAGCTCGGATGGAAGCGCTTTTCCGGATCCACCGCGCATGGGCTGGTGAGGATTGCGGCAAATACCCCTCCGACAACCAGCAAGAAGCCTGCGGACCTAGAGCACGAGAGTCGCGCGGAACCTTCACGTCGAGATAGTTCGACTCTGTAGCCTAATCAGCTGAAGTGGCGAATCCACCTCTGAAGACGAGGGATCGAATCTCGGATAAGAAGAGGTCAGGTTGATTTTTATTGACAGAAAGTCCATAGTAATCCGCTTCGGACGCTCGAGCATCCGGCTGCTTCGCTCAAGAATGCGGTGAGTTTCCGAAAATCATCTGTCGCGGGATTCCGACCATTCGAACATATCCTCTCGGTTAGGCTTCGGAAATATGTAGGGATCTCAATTGGAAATAATAACAATTACATCAATCTATTAATCGCCTTGGAGCTGAAAATTGAGTCACGCTCTTTTTACATTGCATTATTCGTAATACTCATCAGGGAAATTCATTCTACTAAAACAGGAGGGAGCCTTGACCTCGTGCAACTCGGTTCTCGAAACGAGACCTCCTGCTCAACTATCACTTCAGAAGGTGTGAGCATTTCTGCAGACCCCGCAACCGAGCGCGTATTCCTCTCCCGTCGGTGGATGTTTCACATGTAATGGACATTCGTCGCCCTCCAATTGTTTGAGTTTCGGTCCTGAAAAGGAATGATTGAGATATTCAAATTCCATCATTCAGAGAATATCCGGAAGGCATCGACCCAGAATCGGTTATCAGTGCGTCCTATTCGAGGAATCCCAATAAATTACGACTAGGGAACGTTCGAAATTACGATCCGACGTGGATAAAGTGCTTACCGGCTGGGCAGGTGGGCAGCTGACTCTTCAGGACTTTCAAGACTCGTTGGAAGTCGTCGTGACACGGATTGCAGAAGTGCGTTGTACCAAAGCAGAAAAATACCGCCACCGAGCAGCAGTATCTGCATTTGTATTCTAGAAAGTCAGCCCCGTGTTTCGGACACATCTGCGCTGAGGACACGTCCGAACACGCCCCACAGACCAGCTCGGCCGCGTCGTAGCCGTCGTCGTGTACGTCCGCCTCTAGTTCGCAACGGACTTCGCCCCCGAAGTAAGCCTTGTTGCATTTGAAGCACACGTAATAAGCGTATCGTTCCATGGCGTAGGAAGCCCTCTCTTCCTGAGACAGCTTTGAGTGCAGCCCTTCGTATTCGAGTCTCATTAGCGCCTTCCGTTTGACATCTTCTTGCAGTTCCCAGACCGGTTGCAACTGCTCTTTGAGAAGCGGGTGGTCGATGGGCGCTTTGCAGATGGGGCAAAGAGCGAAGTTGAATGTGATCCTCGGGCCTGGCCATTTTCGGCTCAGAGCGTCCACGGTACACTGGTGGTGGAACATGTGGCCGCAACTGAGACTGATCACGGGAGCGCAACACAGCGCTTCCGAGAAGCAGATCATGCACATGTCGTCCGCGTCCTGCCGAAGGTCTTTGCCCTGGGGAGGAGAATGCCGAGATCGTACGTGATCTTTCCGGGGAAGAAAGACTAGGAAGATAACTCTTTGAAAGCTGAAAAAATTCCTGTGCCGCACCTGGCATCCGTAGAGACATGGCAGGCAGGCCTTGTCGTTGAGGACCCCTCCGCAATAATGACCGCAGGGATGCAATTTGGTGCAAGCGTTTTTGGCGTGTTCGACGCAGTCCGCTCCGCCGCAGACCGCACTCAGGCCCGACGTGGTAGCTTTGCAGAAACGGCACATGTTCACCGATGCCTTCGAATTGGTATTTTGCTCACGGAATTCAACCATGGCTTTCAGGGTGTTGGAGTCAGCTAATGCGATCAGCCAGAAGAGCTTCGTGCGGCCACATCCTGGAATCGGAAGGAGTTTCAGACGAGCTGCGGTACGTACGGCTGTCGACCGGAAGAATACGAAGTCGAACGCGGTAATAAAGAAACGAGCAAGGTCGACCAAGTAGACGAACTGATTTCCTTGATGCGCTCCCCAGTCCATAAAACGGCCTTACATGATGTTCCCTATTCATAGATCACGGCTCCCGGTGGAGAGAGGAGGGACGAGTAACAGGACAGGGAGCGAATGAGGGGAGACTACTATCTCGTTCGCTGATACCAAGCGTCCGATCCCACTCCTCCCGGAAACATTGATGAATATATCTCCACCGTTTTCCAGTTCATGGCAGCCGTAGGAGCTTTCCCGTTGGGTACTTCGAGTTCTACAGAGACCCTATCTCGCGAGTGGGAGCGTTCGGAGAGCGAGGAATCTCACCTTCGTGCAGATCGACTTTGATGGCGTCTTCCTCTTCTTTGAAAACTTGTCGACTGTGGCTTTTAGTCTTCTTGTGGTTCAGGTGGAGGAAACGATCACACTCGCAACAGAGATTCCCACAACTATTGCAGAAAATCATGGCCGTTGTCTCACCGTCGTCATGATTCTCACAAAGTGGCTTCTCTTGCTGAGAATCTATAATTCAAAAATAGATCATCGTATCTATCTCCGCTCGTCTTCATAAGAGAGCCCATTGTGACATATGCTCCTCGAGGTCCATCGATGACCTCGGACCCGCATAATTTGAGTCGATTCGTATTCTGGAACCATGCTGGCTGTTCCTGCCTCTCCCCCCCCAACTCGCCAGGCCGGCTTTCACTCCTGGACCCGTTGGAGGAAAACGAAGCCGCGAAGCAAGAATAAACGTACCTTTACGATTCCATTGACCGGACGAGAGTCGATCGACGTGTTCCTTATCCACGACGCAAAGCGACGCAAGACACAGCCAGAGCGTCGGAGTTTTGATGCAGTCCTGAGGCCGGGATCTGAACCTTCTATCGAGACGAGTGAGATTCAGGATATTCTCGGCGATGGCGCTTTTAGCCACTCTGGCCCATTGTTCGGTCAGAAGTCCCGCACACATGTCCCGAATCAGCTGAATTATCATCTGAGCATGTTTTCGGGTCGAGCAGCCCCTCAGCCACCATCGAGTGCCGACGTCGTCCTTTGGATGGATCGTCGTTGCGAGACTAACTGCAGTCGAGGCGTTTTTCTTGCTCTGATCGTTGACAGCGCTGATTTTCGTCTTGATCTGAACCGTGACGGCCTTGGCGATGCAAGCCAAGAGAACATCGAGGATTCCGGGCCTCTGCGTATCGAACAGGTCCTGTCGACCGTCGTCGCTGTTTCCGTGAATGCTGGTAAAATCTTCTGAAGGCAGCAGAGGAACTTGTAGGATCGACGCGAGTACTTGGGGAGAAACCTCGGGCAAGACTCTCCGCAGGAGGGAGGTGACCTGGCGCTGTACTCGAGCCGAGCCCGTGTGCAGGAGGGAGAAAAGATCTCTCAGGAGCCCGGCCTGTTGCGCCAGGTAGGCTCGGCCGACCGACGATCCGGAGAGGGCAAGCACCATGGACAGCATTTCGAAGCAGTATGCATCTGATTGAGGCGCTAGTTGAGGCGAACTAGAAGACAAGGATACCTCCCACTCTTCGCGCACTCTCTGCGTCTCCTTCTTGATCGTCGCTACGATATGCGAGCAAACCTGCTTCTGCAGGTGGGTGAGATTGTTCCTGCTGAACAGGATCCCCACCATATGCTCTTTGAGATCATTGCTGCCATCGCCGGACGACGTGGCTGCGTCCCCGGATATCAATTTTCCGAAAACTTGAGAGGTCAGCAGACGGAATACTTTCAAGGTTTCTGCTTCGCAATTCGAGTGCTGAATCGCGTCCGCCGTCATCATACCTTCGATGGAGGAAGAATTCCAATTAAGAGTCGCGAGAAGCGAACAGGTCATGCAGCTGAAGGATCCGAGTAGAATCCGCCCGACGAATTAAAATTGAGCTTCCGACTTCGAACGCGACTCACCATTAACGATTGGAACGGGATGATCGAGTACTTTGACTTGGCGTACTCTGAGAGAATTATCGGGGCCTTTGAGCTCGATTCGAACAACTTTCCCACCTTCAACATCCACTCCGATCCACCCAACATGACGCAAACTAACATCCTCGCTCTTAATCTTGTTCAGGGAAGTCTCATCTCCTGTCTGCAGACCCGACGTGAGAGAGAAAGAAGCTCGTTGAAGTCTATACGAACGAGGTGGCTACCTACTCGCGAAGCGAGGGTCCCAGGGGGGAATCTCCCCGAGAATATCCGTTTCATACGAAAAATCAACGCTCACCTTGAAAGCTATATGATTCACTCTATTCTGTATGTCACGGCTGTTGTCGATATGAACGGCAACGTAATGAATGTTGACACCTTGAGCTCCCTTGATCTGGATGAATTTCGTTTTGTTCCGATCCTCATCCGATGATTCCCAGAATGTTTCGGTCGAGTTGTCGAGCAATGAATTGACCATCGCTGGTCTCGAGGATGTCGAGATCTCGCACTGGGACGAGACATCCTGCAGGTGGAATATGTTCACTCCGTGCATATCATCGTGATCCTGGAAGCGAAATGGGATCATCATGAGCCGCTGAAATTTCAAAGTGCGTCCGAAATCTGAAAGGATTTGCGTGCAGCCGAAAAACATACATATGTATCATGGCCAAAAAGCTCGCATCGATCAGAAAGACTCACTCGTTGAGAATACACGGAGGCTTCTTCCGAGTGGCTGAGGATCTTCGAGATGTTCGAGAAGACCTGCGACGAGTGCAGGAACAGATGATCTTGAGCTGTGAATCTGAGACACCAGCATCGCACCGCCATCTGCTGCAGGGCCGATGGCGTTTGCAGATGGGCCATAAGATTCGAGATCGATTCCAAGAATTGATGGAAGGTCGCTTGGAGTGGAAACGCCATATGCTGGTCACAGGCTACAATTTTTGATAGGGTCAGCAGTTAGCGATCGCATCTCAGGATCCCTGCGTTAAGCGAGGGGAAAAATTCTTCTGTTCCACTCAAATTATCCTCACCGAAAGCCAGATCCTCAAGGGGATGATTACAGAGACAGACATTCTCGTCATCTTTATCCGGATTAGTGGTGCCGCTACTGAGCGAACTGACGAAGCACCACAGTATGTCGTGCAGACACGTCGGCTGCGATACGCTGTGCAGGAGCCATCTCATGGCCTGCAGCGCATAAACTCGACAGGCCAGTCTCCGGATAGCCTCGATCATCGTTGCCGTTAGCGCATTGATGTCCGAGCAGAAAGACATGATGAAGTTGACAACGGGCGACCCGGTGCTGTTCTTGACCACCGCTGCGAGCCGATCGTCCTCCGAAGTTCCGGACGGCGCCGATTCCGGAGAAGGTCTGCTCGGTCTCCAGTCAGCGACGGATATCGAGACTGATCTATGGAACGTTTTCTGAACACCGAGAGGTGTCGACGCGCCGCTCGGATTGTTGACCATGACCGGTGGCATGGAGTGTCGTGCTCGTTCCGTGGAGAGCAGTTCGGCTACGGCGCCCTGAGACAGGTAGTCGTGGGCGAACTGCTCTATTAGCTGCTGGTCACCGTCCTGGGTCGCCTTGGTCTTCTGGGCGCAGGCTCCCAGCGAGTCGAGGGAGGCGAATTGCACGTCAGCCCTGTCCATTCCGAATGGATTGCTTTCCAACGACAGAAGTTTATCACAGTTCGAAAGACTCGATAGACTCAAAACAAATAGAGAATTCTGAAAATTTCGAAACGGGAGCATGATAGTGGGGTCCATGGCAGTCGACAAAAATCACCATCGCGCTCGCGTCTGTACCCGAGATGAACACCCACCTGCATAGCTACTTTATGTTTCTCTTGCAGATCGATCGGTGAGAGAACTGTGCTCCCCGACACGATCTTTCCGCTGAGTATGGCGTTCTGGCATTGTTTCCGTTTCGCGTCGTTTTCCTTATGTTTCGAGCGGCATTCTTCGCACAAGAGATACCAACAGGACGTCACCGTCCCACCGTCACCACAGTTACCGGCCCAACCCCCGCAGTAGTTTCCGATACTGTTGTAGCCTTTGCCTTTCGAGGGACCGCCGCATCCTTGATGAGCGGTTCTCATGTGCTGGGTTATGGCTTGGTGTCCCGCCACGTCGCACATGTCACAGAAACCTACCATTGACCCGGGGGTCGAGCAAGCTTCCACCGCTGAGTTCCCGAACATGTTCGGAGCAGTGGGTCTCTTGCTGACGCTCGCACCTCGCTTCCGATCTGTAAGGCAGGGATATGCAGCGTTCAGGAGCGGAGAGTATACCCATCCGCCAGAGGTCCCGGAGGAACTACTGGGTCACAAACGTGCTTAAGACCTCCAGGACACGAAAGGGGGAAAACTGACCTTTCTGCGTGACATCGGGTTCGTCCTTGAGGGACGGTGGCCCGTTCTTCGTGTTGAAAGAACTCATGCAGAGGGAGAGAATGTTGTTCCACAAGGCTACGAATTGTGATTTCGGTCCTTTATCGGCCGCACTCTGCGAACATAAGGAACGGTTTATCTATTTGAAGTGTGGCGACCCGACTGACGAGGTCGAACGAAAGGAGGAACTCATGGGAACCCACCGACTCCAAGAGAGGGGCGTTGTCCTTGTTGAGGCTCAGATCGGCGGTCGTTTTCATAGCTTCCGCTGTCAAGCCCTCGAACCAGAGAACTGCAGCGAAAACAGCTCGGATCGACTGAGCGACCGACGGCGCCAGAGCTTCAATGGGCGCGATTCTCTTCACGGATCTGACGGTCGATGTTGACGATCCACTGCTGCTCGGCGCGGGGGAAGCTGCCGACTTCGATGGACTGCTGGAGCTCCTCATCGGCGGCGCTATGCTCAATTCCTCCTGGAGACATTTTGCAAGCTGAGGAGACACCGGCTGCGGCGTTCTATGGCCTGATGCCGTGATTGGCTGATCCGAAAACACTTTCGCCGCTGCTCGGGGGGACGACGCTCGACGACGAGGCGTCGGGGAAGTTTTCGGCGGAGTGGCCGGTGGTGTGGCGCCATTGCCGTTGGCCCGGCTCTCCCCGATGGCCTTGACGAGCTCCTTGACGGAGACTCCCTGGAGTTCAGCCGGAACTGGGTTGAAATTGTCCCTGGCTCGCGTTTCTGCGATGTGGTCCTCATTGTTCTTCAACCATCTTTGCAGAACCGTTTTCGAATGCTCGTCTGAACTCTGAGGGGGCATTGGCTGCTGCGGAGTCGTCTGAGGTGCTTTCGGTGATTCTTCGTACCCGGCGGCTTCGCTCACAGTGTTGAGCGTGTGGAGCGAAGTCGATGGGGTGGATGACAAGCTTCCGAACACGAAAGGACTCACGGACCCGGACGAGCACGCGTCGTGCTCGGAATTCCCGGACCCAGACGTCAGGAAACCCTGCGACGTCCCCGAGAGATCGAAGCCCTTACTCCTCTCGGAGTTCTTCTCGGCTCGTGTGGTGGTTGTGTTGGTTTCCTCGGTCTCGCTCGCAGCCTCGTCGGAGAGCACTTCGCTCTCGTGCTGTAGGAAAACCAAGCTCCCCGCTGCAATTGAGCTCTGGGCGAGAGTCCACGCGTCTCCGTCGGTGGTCGTACAGTAATGCTGCATCGAATCTTTAGAGAGTTTGAGCCACAGCCCATCGTTATTGACCAGATCCTCATTGACCGTGACGTAGTTCCCCATGACCAACATACCGATCGGGGGTCCGGACCTTAGGGACGCTCTGGAGCGTATGTTGTGCCCAGAGGTCCCGCTATTGACAACGAGATAGGTTCCAGGACCTTTCCGGACGTATATTTCTTTGGCGTCCGCGGTTAAACCGTTCACGTTTTTGCCATCTTCACCGATTTTATCCTCAGCGGCGACAAGAAGTGTTCTTGAAAAATGTTTGTGGTACTGGAGGCACCACGCCTCGTGCGCTTGTGACAGAGTCAGTCTACGGCAGTATTGATGCGCGCTTTCCGGTGTTAATCTCACCCAGATACCGTCATCATTTTGGACCTGGAAATGATGGGGATGTTAATCGAAAAAGATTGATTCGGTGACAACGTGTCCCGTCGGTTATAATTATGATTATTAGTGTTTATTATCCGGCGACTCGATGATCGATAACGCCCCCCGTTCCGAGGAGATTCCGTGAACCTACCGCGTCGATGAACGTTATGTGACCGTTTGCCGGCACGACGCCGATCTGATCGCTTTGGAGACTCGGACTCTTCCGGATTCGGAGTCCTTGGGAATCGATTCCGACGAACTTCCGGACCTTAGACATGGCCGAGGAGCCTTTGGACTTAGTTTGAGGGGGCGGCTGAGCGAAAGTCTTGCCATGGGGGAGCTCACGAACCTCGATGATGGAATCTTCGCCGGTTACTGGGTAACCGTCGATGAGAGCTTTGAGCTCGAAACGACCTACGCTCGATGGCGTCCAGTTGGCTGTGTACAGCTCCCCTGCTTGGCTGACCATTAGGCTTTCGGTTGCTTGTTTCTTCGGAGACATGAAACGGAGTTCTTCGAAAGAGTACTTTTCGTAGGCTTTCATCATGGTGATCGAATGGTAGATCATCTTCTCCTTCACCGATGCCTCGTAGGGAGTTTCTGTGCAAGGAGCTGGGAGGCCACCGAAAGTGAGATCGCCCCTTCTCGTCTGGTTCATCTGAACGGTTGAAGGACCGCAGCCGAGCAGCACTGCGAATATCTCAACCTTGACGTTCGAAACTGAGCAAGTTTTGCCATACTGGTCCTTGACGACAACATTGATTGCCGACGAGCTCCCGCTTTGCAACTCTTCTTTGTTGAAAACCAGTTCGCATTTCTGGGGGTCGACGAAAGACTCAGGTTGGAGCCACCTGGAATAGGAATGGTCCCCATTGAAAAACCACCGCTCCATTCCCCCTCCCAAGCGCTTCTCTTGTCCTCGGCCTTATCGGCTCACTCCCGATTCTCGATATTCGAGATGGAAATATCAAATGAAGGAGCCTGAAAGATCATTCTGAAAATGTACGCACATGACCAGTTTCGAGCCCGCTGTACCGGGCTCGGCCGAGATAAAATCTTTGAGGAACTTCTTTTCGCTGCAATCAGCTTGAGTTGGGATGTTCCCCGAGAGGGCTTCGTCGATGTTCGGACACCTTTCGAGAGGTGGTCCGCGGCCCAGGATCTCCGGATACGTTTTGAAGGTTTCAATCACGGCTGGATCGAATTCCATTCCGTTTTTCAAAAACACCGGATCTTGCTTGAGAAGGGCAGAACAGCATTCTCCACCAAGATGCGCCAACTCCTTCTCGAGATGAGCGAAGCCATTCGAGTTCTCCGACGTCCCGCAGTGTCCGACGACCTGGCACCTGTACGTGGAAGGGAGCAGTCAATCAGGATGTTCGTCTTCCTATTTTTCGTCCCGCGGAACGAGGACGCAATCTCTCACGTCGATACTTGCCGGAAACCGTAGTTTGTACTTTTCTCATCCCTGGCGTACTCGGACGCACTTTCCAAAGAGAACAGCAACGCGTTGCCTGGGAGGACAACAGCGTTCGTCGGCCAGCCCTCGCAGCCGGAAAATCGACGAAGAACCGCCCAGTATTGATTCACATCGACTTCCTCTGTTTTCTCTTCTTCCATGTTCTTCAGCGTAGCGCAATATATTTGGAGATAATCTTCGGGCTGGGCGGTGCAGCTCTTTGGATCGAATTCCACGGTTATCCAATCGACTTCGTCGGGGAATTGGATTTTATATCGAGACACATTCGCTGCTTTGTAGGGGTGATCCGACTCGACGATAGCGTAGAATCTTTCGTCTCGGCTTTTCTCGGGACTTTTTGGCCCCAGTTTCTTGCTGATGGTGACTACGTTCCCCAGCAAGGTTTTGACTAGAGATAGGACTCGCACCGCGGTCGAGGTGTCCGTCGAGGCGATTTTGACTAATTGCGAGAACACGGCCGGCAGCAGCGATGACACCAGTTTTGTGCTCTCCAATTCGACCAGTTTTTGGTTGTCCTCCAATGATTCCACCGCCTACCGAACGAAAACTAGCGTCAATGAGCATAAACGAAACGAAGGCGCTCCCCGACGGAACGAGACCAGCTGCGTTCCTCTGATCTCCGAGTCGGGGCGACTGAAATTCCTAGGCACGAGTTTCCGAACTCTCTCGAGTCCGACTATCGGACTGATCTCGCGGGACCCCGTCCGTTTGAAATCTAAAAGAAAGGCTCGCTCACCCTGGCCATGAACTCGTGCGAGATCTCCACCAACGAAGTGCTTATCGTCAGCGTTGTGTCGACCGCTTCTCTGACAACATCTGGCACAGTCACTTCGGATGCATGTGAAGCCCCCGAAGCTAAGTTCGCATTCAATGCTACCGGGGTGTTGTGGTAGAGGATCTGGGAAATCTGACCTCTCGTTTGATTTGTACCATTGAAACTGAGGGTGCAGTCGATGAAGAAGAACGTCGTCCCATCGGGACCCTTGACCTGTGAAGCACAATTCCGCGTCAGAAGGTGGAAAAATTCACATCTCTGCTAGGATTCTAGAAGGGGACATGATGCACAAAAGCTAAGCCTTCAAGACTCACATGTGGAACCCCACAATCTCCGCTGTTCGTTTTCGCTCCGTGGTTCCGAAGCCGGAGGGCATACCGTGTATTTTTCCTGATAGGAACAGGCCGTTCGAATCGGATCTCGAACAGTTCGTCGGTACAATCGTCAGGAGCGAAGTTGCCGCTCACAGTTTCGATCGCGGCCCACCGCTCAACTGTAATGACGGATCGTCTATGGTATCCGGAAAAAAGTATCGTAATACGAAACCAAATCATCGGATGATTGGTGGGGGTTCTCGACGGAGCGCGGCCCTCTCCGAGAGTTCGCGCTCCTTGTGTCACCACTGACCTGCCAGATCTGCACTCGGTCCGGCTGCGGAAAAATCGAGGAGGTCCAGCTCGTAGACCCAATCCGAACTCGCCTTCGATGCGCCGTAGATTGTAGCTCCAGCGATACTGATTCCGGATCTATCGACAGTGAAACATATCGCATCGGGGCTGCCGTTCCCGGTGTTCCATGTGCGTCCCATTTGAACTCTCTTGAATCGAGTCGGTGTCACAAGCGGGGTCATCGAGCTCAAATTACTGTGACCCGGAGCGTCGGCATGCGGTTTTTCAATGGCAACTCTGGTGGAAAGTTCGCTGATGATCGCCACCAAGAGTTTGCAGGCATTGTCCACCAACTGCGGAGGACAAACCGATCGCTCCCCGTGGCCTACCAATATTGCTAGTGGGTTCACAACAATCTGTATGAGCTTATCGACGACGTCCTTGAAAGTCAAAGTTCCCGAGAGTCTCATGTCGTCCGGGTCTCGAACCGACAGCGCTTCGTTGAGGAGCCTGAACAAAGGATACTTGGAGTTTGAATTCCACGGATAAAGAATTCCTTCATCCGTCTGAACGTTCTGTCAGGGGGTCATCAGAGATTCTGAACCTACCTTCCGTGCAGCGCTGGGCCTTCACTACTTTCACTGCGCGTTGGCATATGGAAATTTCCGGACATAGGACTCCCTGGGGGACTCTGAGGCGGAGCGAGCGCTGGCGTCGGACGCTCATTGTAGACAATCTACGGAGTGAGATTTGATTTCAACACGACAATTGGGAAATCTCCCACCGAATGATGTCCGAAATGCGCGTCTTCCTCGCGACAGCAACTAATCGGTCACCTTGGACAATTGATGGGGAAGGAATGTGGCCAGTGAAGATGAGGGCGATTTCCCCAAAGCACCGAAAATCACAGCTAGTAACCGGGTGAACTCCCTCTCAGGGGCTGAGCATGATTTCGACTGCTGGGGGAAAACATCGTTCTCAAGTCCCTATTCATCCGAATTAAACGTATCACACGAGGGTGAACCGTCAAACGAAAAATTGTCCACTGAGCGTTCTCGATGGAACCGGACTCACCTCTGCCGACCGTTGTTCATGGAGGAGCAGCTCGCAGAGTCCTTGCCATTTCAAGCTGTCGGTCGGATAAAACGCTTGGTAACAATGGGAGAATGTTATACTGCACTCTGTGATGAATCGCCGGAGAGCGGGCTGATGCTCGTTGGCCGACGTCATGAGAATTTGTTTCAGGATCATCCTGCACATCCATATGGCTCTGCACAGCGGCTCAATATCACCCGTGGACGAGTTTGCGACTAGAGGGTAGACTTGTGAAATATATTGGCGCAGCAGACTCAGTGCAGGTTTCGATAATCGGTCACCGATCACGCAGGGTCCTGGAATTCTCGTACCCCTTAGATCAGATGCACACAAATCGTCATGGGGAGCATCATTCGATGCGGTGGCAAGGCGTTCATGCATTGCGCTCGAGGCACTCAGTTCTGCTGCGTGAATCCGAGAGCCGCTCAAAATCTCCCCAAACTCACCCTGCTGGAGCTCCTTCCAGATCCATTTGAGGTGGGTGAGTAGCCAATGAAAACACGCGGAGTTGATGCCGGTGGCGAAATCCTTACTCAACGTATAAGCGGGCTCATTGCCGTCCTCAGATAGACCCAGCGCTCGGTTCGATCCGGATTCGGGGCTCATCAATCTATACAAAAGTTGCGGGATCTGTCCGGCGTTCGCATCAGTACCATTATTGGATCTCTTCGAGCTCTTGAACGAAAATGTCACTTGGTCCTCTGTTACGACGACGTGCTGTCCCAGCGATCCGCAGTCCGATGAAGGTCCTGCAGGTAAATTGACCTTTTTTAACCCTCGCCCCGAGAGCAAATGAACTCATCCTGCGTGAGCAATGATTGTAGCGGGATCAGAAGGCATGGGTCAACACGGCGAACGAGCACAGAACCGGAGTCCTCCAGCTCGAGTACGCGTCAGATGACACGCAAATTTATCATCATTATGAGATGGGGCTGGAGACATCAGGAAAAATCGCGAAATTCTGCGAGCTTACCGCTTATCCTCGCCCAAGCGAGGTACCAGCGGTTCGCCTGGATGGGAACGGGGTCATCGAACATCATCGAGTATTTGTGCCGCGCTGGACACTCGTAAGTTCTGTCGTCCATGTCTATGAGAATTTCCCCTTCGGGTTCGTTGTCCCCGCCGTCGTCACCGAGGTCGTAGATCCGCAATCTAGCCAGATATTCCCCGCGGCCTCCGAACAATCCGAGCCCGCCGAGTAGAACATCGGTGTCTGCCATGAAGCGGATCGCTTCGATAGAACATCCCGAATAACCCCATCCTCCACCATGGCTGTCGAAGCGATTTACGATGGAAAAATCGTCCTTGGCGAAAGAGCGACGACTCCGGTGAAGAGCCTGAGGATCCGAGGCTCGGTCGTCGCTGTGCTCACGGGGATTCTTTGCGGCAAGGTCCAAAAAATGAATAAGGCTCAGAGCCGCGTGCTGACGAGTAATGGGGAATTCGCTGAGCTGCAAAAAAAAAAGAAATTGACCTCCAAACTCATCGGACATCGGAGACTGCGGAGGGCTTCTCTTCGTCGAGTGCTTGATCCATCACAGTGTTTTTCTGCCAAAGAAACCCACCGACGGGACTGTGGCGGCGAGGGGAAGGTCAGATTTCGTATGATAAATACTAATCATCTGACTTTTCCGATTGTAACTCCAAAGAAGGTCGTAGACGTGATCGAACGTGACACAATCTTCCTCGCTCAGGAGATGAGGTCCCGGATGACCCTTGCAGACACCGTTCTGACGATTCATCATCAAAGTGCTGTAATCGCTTGTCGACGGATCGGGGATGATGGAGATCACTTGACGCGTCGCGGTCACGATCGCCGAGGAAAGGCATCTGGAACGGGAGAGCGAATATCAATGGGTCCGTTATGTTTTTCTATTCCGATGCTTGAGATTGTTTGAGGGCAAGTGAATTCTGACGCTATGAAAAATCAGATCACATACCTCGAATCGATTAGACTTTCATCGATTCTAAGGAAGGTATGGTCGCCGGAAGCCCCGATCCACGTGGCTTTCTTCGCGTTAGGCGCACCGATACCGGGGACTGGTCCCGCCACGGCGTTCCACGGCACGGGCCCTGCCATTGAGTTCCATGACGCGTCTGCCGAGGTCACGAAATCCTCTTCTGTGCGACATAATTGTCCTTTCTGCAAAAGACACAATCAACGTGACAAACCCATGAGACGTACGCTAAATGGGGCATGGATCACTTCTCGAGCTCATTTCCTCACGCGAGCCACCCCCATTTTCTCGGTCCTCGTGGCGCGGCGTCTTGCTCACCTGAAAACTTCCGCATGTGTACACCGCCCCATTGTTGAGGAGCATCACGGTATGATTGCTACCAGCGGCAACCTGGACGACTTTCGATTGACCTGGTAGACCCTGGACGAAAGATGCACTCGATTGTCGACCATGGCCGAGCTGACCGTGCTGATTGTTACCGAATGTCAGCACATTCCCGGTCTCTAGGAGCAGAACTGGAAGGGAGTTTTGCGTCACAAGGGGTCAGGGAGGATGGCGGACGCAGGAAAATGGGGTTGGGAGAAGCTCACCGGTGTGGTGGACGCCGGTGGCAGCTTGTAGTACTTTGTGAGCTAAATTCAGTTTCACTGCAGGGAGCGAGGCTAATTTTCCACAATCAACATCCGCGAGTTGATGTGCCGCGTCGGACGACGAAGAGAGATCTTCGCGGGAGCTCCCAACACCGGACGCGCATCGGAGATTATTGATGATAACGGGGTCCCCGATTTGCTGTGGAAGAATAAGGTGAGGAGTTCTCCTCCAACGCAAGCTCGTCGGTACGTCCCGAGCAGCTCCCACATTAGTTTGGTGCAACTCGCGACGTCCAGCGAAACTTCCCGATAGACCTCACCTGAAATCTATGCAGTGGACCATCTCTCCCTTTTCCTGATTTTCGTTGAAATCTTCGGCTGCCGTCGTCCCTATCGCGATCCCTCGAGCGGGCTATCGAATAAGACGGGGAGAACTCCTCGCGTCTCCGCATCCTTTCCGGCATTTTCCTTATCACTACGAATCCGTCTCCGCCAGCTACTTGTGCATTCATCTGCAGGATGGAGTGAAGAACAATTTCGAGGCTGAGATTTAAGCTCATGATGAATTCAGTCCGATTTCTGTCTCACGCAGTTCTTCCTCGATCCACGAATCCGCACTCACCGCCGCCGCCAATCTCTGGTTCTGTTCACAAGATATCGGTACGACTGGGGCAATACTCGGAGCTGCTTTCGGTTGACTCGGCGCTTCTGCTCCCACCCGGTTGGCACATACTCTACACGATCCACATCGAACACAGCCAGCGTCCCCGACACCGCAACCGCATAGGCTAGAAAATTGAATTTGAGTTGTCGGAGAGCGAAATTTAATGGGCACAGGTTGGAGACAAGGTTCATGCCGTTGGTTCGAAGCATTACTCCATCATCAGTCGCTATCTCCAAGCACACTCACTCTCCGGGTAATCGCTGGGAATCCGCCGGCAAGCCCATGGACGCAATGCATTGAGAACCGTAACCCGTACATTGTAAACACGTTCTGCAGATTTTGCAGTCTTGCGATGCGAATTGGTGCGGTGGACAAGCTTGACCATCCGCAGAGGCCTTGTCTTTCGACGTCTCCTTATCTGTGACCACCACGGCTGCCGCTGCGAGTTCACTGCTGGGGTCCACCAAGGAATCCGCACTGCTTGCCGTCGTTATTGAATTCTCCGAAAGATCCGCTGCGGGAAATGAGACACTGTGATTTTCTCTCCCTCGATGGACTCGATTAGGGGAGTCTCGATTAGTATTCAGGGAACCAATCCGGCGTTATCAGGCTTCAGAATATTTTTTGCGCATAAAAAACCTACCGGAAACTAGAGCCGCGCTTGAGGCGAGTTCTCTCGCGCATTGACCCTTGTGGTTGACTCCGAAAGTGTAAACCGATCCGTTGCTTGTGACGGCGACACCGTGGGCTTTGCCCAAACACACCTGCGTGACTTCTTTGACACCTGTATTGACCAGCCCGGAATTTGGCTCGGCATGTCCGAGAGCGTCTTTTCCGAACAGATACAAATCTCCGGTATTTGAGACGATGGCAGTAGTTCCGTTATTGCATGCGATGTCCACCGCTTCCACTCCCTCCATTTTAGCGATCCGACGAGGCTTGATTGTTCGTGGCTGTCCCTTTCCCTTGACCGGTTCCCCATCTTCTCCTCGGCGAGCTGTTCCCGCAAAGTACACGCTGCCCTCGGGGGTGATAAAAACGGCATGGCTTCCGTCGTGACCCACCGCAATACGTTTCGCGGACAGTTTCATATCGGACCACCGGGAGTTGCCTTGTTTAACGCCCAAGCCTATCACTCTCCCGGTGGCATAGACATTACCGGAACTACCGATAGCCAGACCGAAATCTTTTCCACATGTCACCATTTCGGGCTCCTCGCCTGAATTCACACCTGGCGAGAAAGGGGGAGAATTCGAGGCTTGATCGAATGCCCGAGGGATTCATCGAGGGGAGAATGGAAGGAGACGGATGACGACCGATCAAATCTACCACGAAATCCCTTGCACCGAGGAATGTCTGACCTACTACAGGGATACTCACTTAGAACAATGGGTTTCTTATCGTCCGACTTCTCTGTTCTATGCGTTTCTGATATGACTCCCTGGCCGAAAACGAGCAGAGACTTTTTCGTCAGTTTCAAGACAGTTTCCGTCGTTCTGTCTTCCATCTCCGGACACGGTCGATAAATTGTTTTCACCGTGAAGAGATCATCATGAGGAACGATGCAGCACAGTGCTTGACCGTCGCTGAAGAGAGCTGCATAGGGATGAATAATAATCGTCGGTCTCCAAGTTTCTCCAAATCGGGTTTCTCGGAACTTATCGGCTCCGACCACTCGACATTGGTTTTTCAGTTGCGTCAATATAAGGACCACTCCTTGACGAAGAATACTCACTGTTGGGTAATTGCACTTGTTTCTGTAGAACGAATTTCTTGACAACTTGTAGAGTATCCTTATCGAGCTTTAAAGCTACAGATTTTTCGTCCTTTATCGTGACAGCGAGAAGGTACCCAGCACAAACTCCGATCCATACGACGTTCTCTTGACTCAACTGACGACTCATCACAGTAACTTGACCCTCTTGGGAATCTCCGAAACCAGTTGTGATCTTGTAGAGGACGCCTCCTTTCAAGAGATAGAGGAAGGATCCATCGGAGGCAAGACAGCAACCTTCTTTTCTAGAGTTCGACTCCTGAGGGAATTTCACTCGATATCTGAGCACTGGGTTGGCGGGGACGCCTTGATCCAGCCACCTGGGGAGTTTCTGCGATGCACACAGCAGGGAGTGTATTGCACGCTGTAGCGCTATCAGAATCAGTGGCGTCTGACGGAAGAGAGAGACGAAGGTTATCCTTGGAGGTCTGTGAGATTGGAGAGTGTTGGGGAGAGTAGACCACAGAGGAAGAATTGGATTCTGTTCCGCATGATTTCCGAGGTCCATCCTTCTCCGGGAAGTGTTGACTCACAGTTCCCCAGGGAAGAGAATCACGTCAGAACTTACCGGAAGTGTCAGCTGACTGTTCGGGGGCAGCAGGAGACAGTTCGCCGTGGCCAGTGTTTTAGCAGTCTCCCCGGTTGCGATCGCGAGAGATACAAGACAGGAAGACGACAAAGATGAAAGAGTCAACAGAGGATCGGTTGTATCAGTCAGAGATGAAAGTTCTAACAGCAGCGAGAAGAGCTTATCTGGAAGAGGACACATGGGGCTTGATCAATGCGAATTACAGCTGCGATATTCTTCTGGATCCGATCTTCAAAGAATAGCTACTGACAGCGAATCTATGAGTCGGTCAGCGATCGAATCCTCAGGTGTACATCGTCAGTGTCAGCTAATGGAGTAGGAATTCGATGCTCCATACCTATCGTTTCTTTGGGTTCATCCTTCATGGCTTCTGGGGCCAATCCTTGCAATGTGTCCAGGAGACTTCGCAAGACCCTGATGCAGAGATCAGGATGGGTTCGACAGCTCCCTTTGATCAAATCCAACATCCCATTCAAGCCCATGAGAACCAATTTGGGTAGTGGAATGACTTTCCGCTCGTCGCTATCTCGCTCCTGATCCGGCTTCTGGGCGGGTTTCTCGCATCGCGACCTTCTCTCCTGCAAGCATCCGCGGATCGCGACATATACTGCGAACGGTGACGGGTTTGGTTGCAACTCCAAGACTGGTTTGGAATCCGGCGTCTTCGGGACGACATCCGCGCTGCATTTCTGTGATTGATAAAAGTTATATTAGGATTCGGTCTCGCACCAGCAGACGATGAAACGTCCCTTCGTCCCAGACTCTCATACGCCCCGAACTCTGGTTCGCTAAGAATGCCCAAGGTTTCAGCATTCGAATTCTCTTCTCGCTCCTCACATCCTTCGACCTATCGAGACAAACTCCACCCGTGATTTCTTCCACGAACTTGCCTCGAGATATCTCGCAATCTGAGGAGGTTTGCCTGCACCTCGTTTCGGCCCATCTTTCTGCCTGGAAAGAATCGATTCATTGCGATGATACCTCCGGATGATCCCTCTGTATCGTAATGTACGAACGAATTCCGTAACACATGCGCGCGGTTGCGTAGATGAAGTGACTCATCAATATTCTAAACCAAGTGAAACAGTTCGATATCAACGTTCGCAGGACCCCGGATTTCGAGCTCGAGTCGACAAACAAATCCCTTACTGTCCTCACGTCGTACCTCTCAGTGACCACTGGCCTGAAAAGGCCGTGGAATTCCTTTGGCAGACTTTTTGACATTCAGGCAATCGGCTCGCGAAGGTCCTCAAGGCCGGTGTGCTCTCATTGCTCCATTACTACACGCAGTCATCGGTGAACAAACGAGCTATTCACGGATTCTTCAGTTTCCAAAGCCGCAGCGGGTTCCGGCCTCCTGTCGGTGGGCTCCCACTGCAAATCCAAACTACAATCGCTCTCACTCGCAATTGCTTCTGTTTACTTTCGGGTTCCTCTCTGTCACCGTCATCTCGCGCGGAAGCCGGACACGTGAGCGAAAACCCAGACAGGCTCCCCGAGTCCAGCAAATTAGAGTTCTGTCGATGATCTTTCGAGCGGATTATCAAGGTGACGGAAAACGCTGCTGATTGTTGGTCTGACGCAGATTGAAACCTATAAGCCCGACACAATGTCGTGCTCTCGCCCCCTGGAGCCTTCTGCCAGATCTTGACTGATGACAGCCGCTTCGACAATCATCATCAGAAAATATCCTGACCCAAAGCAAGGATGCCGGGTGCAGAGCTGCGAAGCGAGAAGCTTCTCCTTACTTCGACCCCTTCATTGTCCTCGTGTCAACTAGGGAAATCTTCTGGACCGTGGCTGAGCGAGAAACGGCTGCCCCCGTCCGCAAGCAGTCGCCTGCTTCGAAGTTTCCCGCTGTACATACAGCTGAACGAGGTTCCGGGTGTCGAGTCTGGCTCATCTTAGAGTTAGCTAGACGAGGAGGGGCTTTGGTTCCAATTCGAGCTCGTTCCGAAAGACTGGATTCCACTGCGTTCGAGGAATGCTTCAGAGTACAGAGTCAAGGGTTTCCTTCCCCCCAGAAATGACTAAGACTTCCGGCGAGAGCTTACTCAAAATTCGAGGTGATCGATTGGGGCCGAGAGTCGTCGCTGACAAAATCGTATTTCTCCGATGCAGCAGCAGCAGCTGGCAAATGATTCTGGCCTTGAGAGCTCGCTGAAATCGAACCAAGCGTGGACAGTGGCGGAACCGCTCCATGAAGTCGACCCAATATAAGCTTCGGAAGAGCTCCATCGCGGAGCAGAGCAGGGCTTCCGATCCAAGCCAATATCCGGCATAGCTCTCGGTAAATGCGTGAAAATCTTTTTCGCGCGCACGCGGCATCCACCGACATCCTGCCTCTAAAATCGGTCGACCGATCGTGCAGACAGGCATTCATCACGTGGAACATCGACGAGACCGATCTGGCCATTTCATTCCCGGCGAGCGGGCACTGATCCATGAACTGGTCTCGAATCCTGGTCGTTTGGGTTCGCAGCCGTCATAATCATGCAAAGCATTCGATGTGTATTCTCGAAGAAAAATTTATCATCTGATACCACAAGTGTCAGAAAGCTCTGATGAGTCGAGAGAAAGAAGCGGGATATCTCCAATGGCTGTATTTATTCATGTGGAATCGCTGATTATTTACACATGGGATCTCTTTGAAGAAGTTTTTCTCTATGGCGTCTTGGGAGCTGAGATGTCGAGAGGATATCGAATCATTTCAGAAGGTGACGGTTGGTGATTTACTTAGTTCGCCGATCGGAGTGGTAGGTTTCTCACAAGATAAAGCTACGTCGCGTCACCGTGCAGAGAACACCGTGACCGAAAGACGTCATGAGTCGGCCGATTTACCTCGTTTAATGAACGGACCGATGAAACTCCAATGATAGGATGATTATGCTTGAGCAGGCTCGAAACTCCCACGGCTCAGCAGAATTTCCACCTGTTTCCACATTCATTGCAGAACGCGAATGTGGTCATCGGTTCATCGGCGCTCCTGGTCTGCACCTGGTTGTAGGTACAGTTTGACTTTTTGCATTTTCCGCATTTGAGCAAATCGGTTTTCGTTCCCGATGTGAGAGCCATCTGGTGGTCGTCGATCGCTTCCTTCGTGAGTTTCTGCCGGAGCTGTTTCAACTCATCGGAGGCCATTTCTTCGGCAGTCATCTTCGCAAGTCGCTCCGGCTTTATGCTGCCGATGAGAACTCCCAACCGGAGATTCGGGTTCTTTGGGTCCTTCAAGTTCGCTACTCGGCTTCTGATCCTGCTACGGTACTTGGTGTCCGTATTGTTGAATTCGTCGAAGCACGTGCTTTCGATCCGCTCCGCGAGCTCGTCGGGGTCGGCCGCACAACCGTCGGGCAAACCATTTCCTTTTAGGGCGTTTGAGAGCATCTCGCTAAGAAAAGAGAGAAAAATCAGAACACCGTCGATCTAGAACGCATCGCGGCTCTAGCGGAGGTCGCCATGTAGCAATTAATCCATCAACTAATATATGGCATTCGTAGTTACTGGATACTACTCTTACCGGCATTTGAGCCTGACAGCATCGGTGGTATTCCCCGCGGGAAATGAGGTTTGCTTGGCGGGTACAGGCCTCGCCGGGGGCGTCGTCGAGCTCTTCTTGTTCTCCCTCGACTCCCTGCTGGACGAATCTTCAGCTCTCGTGGGGGTACCTGACGGATGAATTAACTCAGTTGACGGTGGCGGGATCGGCCTCCGCCGAGTTTCGTAAATGAGAGGAAGCAAAAAATATCGGTGGGGATTTCCTCATTTCAGCTATGATAGTCACAAGTATACGGATTCACTTACTGCCAATGAGTTTCTTCCAGTTCTTCACGAGCGTTTTGGCCAGTAGAATCACTTCATCGTCTTGGCTGCTTTTCCTCAACGTATTGACCGTCAATCCGATATGCGTTTTCTGAAAAGCAAGAATGCGCATGTAGAGCGGCATCTCGAACCATCCATCAATCACAGCACCATCGTAGTCGAGAGCAGATTTTCAGAACAACGATAGCGGATAGCAGGGGAGCCTCGAACATTTTTTCTCCTGCAGAGGATGAGATAACCGAATGCGACCCGTAACATTTCTGGTTCGGATGCAAGTAACATGCGAATCAATATCCCATCGGGAGCATCGCGTTTTCGACAGATTGCCTCATCGATCAGAGAAATATTGTTGGAACGTACTTTCTCCACAGTCATGTTCTCATACTAGGGAAAATCGGAACAAGCCTCCCTGAACAGAAGTCGGAGTGGCCGATGAGCCATCGAGGACTTTGATCGAAGGTTCGGAATGAGCAGCCTCGATCAGAGGGAAGCTCCTAATCAGCCAATGAAGTCAAGATATCCAGGAAAAGCATATATTTACCTGCAGGATCTCGAGAGTTATCGGGAGCCTCTGTAGCTGCTTGAGCATATCCAACGCTTGGCTCTGGCCCTGAAAGAAACATTCGGTCAGTGATCAGATCGAAGTCTATCCCAAGAAAAAAGAGATGGAGTCGCCCAATGAGAGTCACGCGCATTGAGATCTCTCAGGAGCGAATCGCAGACAGCTGGTCGACGAATGCCGATTTACGTAATTATGGCGCCCAAATCTCGGAACGTAAACAAACTGTATGGGACGTCTTCCGGACGGATCTCTCGATTCCCGTTGCTCTCGTCACAGTCTGCATCACAGACGAACGAAACAGACGCACTTTCCGAATGAACTAAGTCATATGCGGCACGGAGCGACTCGCCGACACGAATTTAGCGTCTGCAGTGGCCCGTTCCGAAGCTCTCGTGCCGTCGGAGGCCGAGGGTCGTCTCGAAGAGGATTCCAGCATTCGGAGGAAACGACATGAAACTTCTGCACATATGTCAGACGATATAGAGGATTTGCATGTGCTGTTTTGGCTCGACCCGCTCAACTCTACGGAGCCGCTTCTTTGAGAACTCTGCCGAAAAGACGCTTTTTTCAAAGAAACTCACCCCCGATCCATCTGAGGCCATCTTCGCCAAACCTCTGCCGATTTTCTTAACATCTTCCTCGCAACCCATTGTGGTACTTCACTTGGAGACGCGTTGAACACACACAGTCTCTAGGCCAACAACACTGAGGCTTTTATTTTCTGTCCGGTGGAGAGTGTTTACTACACCCGGATGTGCATTTCGGCAGTTCACGGGCGGGCGGATTCGAATCGCGGATGAGGAATCCGGCTTTTCTCAATTAAGAAGAATGTACCCTCAGAGCCTCGCGGAGTTCGAGGAATGTGGTTTCCGACCGCAGCTGCGGCCGGTGATTCGGAGGACCCCGCTTCATCGCTCATGAGAGGGAGAGTATATCTCTCTGCTTATTCGGAATTCCTCAAGAACTCTCGATAGATTGAACCAGGTCTACATATAATAGCAAATGAGCTCCTTTTAGGCTCACGATGAGCGGGGAATGACGCTAAGACCAAAGAATTTGTTAATGAGAGACAGCATTCAAAGCTCGAGAATCCCCGCTCCGTGAGTCGTTACTTCAAGGGGCGGGGGCTCCGGGCAGAGAGCTGAGAACCCGTCTGCGGCTCTTTAAATTATTTCTGATCCCCGCAGCAACAGAGGATCGATTGTCCATTCCGATGAGGAATCAAGAGTATTGATCGAATCATCTTAGCCCATCCATGTGACTCGAATCAATCAGGAGAGTGAATCTTTGCCTCCGTAGAATTCGCGTCTCGCGCAGGGGCTTCATGGTTGATGGGGTCCTCTATTCTCGGGGTCAGGGGGGAGTCTCCGGAAGCGGAGCGATGCCTTTCAGGTGACGTTCTCCCGGGAGCTCCAGTATGAGGAGGCTCATCGGATCTCCGGGAACCCTGCAGTGCAATCGAGAGAGTGCAGACGCGGACTAGCCAGGGCTAGACGAAATAGGAGGCGCATCATGTAAACAATGCGAAAATTATGATCGGTTTGCGGGAAGCGCTCCTTCAGGCAGGAGATATCCTCTCGAAAAAAACCCGAGCGCTCGAGCAATCGAGAGCACAAAGCTGCCGTCGAAAATCCGAGAGAGATGACCAGGACGGAGGGTCGGCGCACTTCCCTTATCAAGGGAATGATTTTCCCGGGGAGGTGACGATCGAGTGCTTCAACGTCGGAGCGGGGTGAGAGAAATCATAGCGGGCTCCTGTGTGCTCACCATTCCCCGAAGAGTGACCAGATCTCACGAGAGGGCGATCCTTATTGGGTTCTATCGATGACGTGAGATCATAGGAACCTATGTACCATTATCCCGAAAAGTTATTAATGAGCGAATCCCGGTGAGTCCGCCGGAAATCATCTGTCATTTATTTTTCTTGGTCGTGGATGAACAACGGTGAGATCTCTGATTATCGATGCGTTCATCCATCTCAGAGATTAGATCTTCAGTATATCTATTCATGAGACACTCTCGCGCAGGGAATCCAGTCCGACGGACGAGCGAGCAATCCAATCGCTCGAACTCATGACGCGTCAATCGAAAACACCCAAACTAATGGGATGACTCTTTTCATTTTCTGCACGAAGCTGGCCAGGCGTCTTCCTCGCCGTGGTCGAATGAGAGTTCGGTGGCTCTGTCAAGGGGTCAAACCGGAACTCTCGGTCCTTTCAGAGGGAAACGTGGTCGAATCTAAGAGTTCGGCTTCTCGAAAACCATCGAGACTCTGGAGGGACCCCTCTCCGGAGACTTTTCACGAACTTCTGTCGCGCTCATCGTCCATGAGTCTCTTCCGCCAATTGAGAGAGTAGCCCAGGAGTCGACCATGTGGTCCACCGAGCGCGCCTCGCTCGCGAGGGTGATCGGCAATCGACAGAATCCGCTGCAATTGACTTTATCCTGCCTGATTCCGACTGTCTATCGGAGGATCGACCACGGGTGAGGCTCAACTCGATGAGCTCCGTAGATTGCAACCACAATTTCATTCGAAGGAGGTTCTCCTCCGCCGTTGGTCCTACCTTGATTCCGATTCGGAGGAGGGTTGAGCGGCTCCGCGAAAACCCCATCTCGAAGTCTGTCACGCGAAAAACTCGGATTCGCAAATTGTCCCCTGGGATTCAGTCGTCGAGGTTAAACTCGGCTCAAGAAACTCAGGATACTCATGCTGGTCACGGCAGCTGCGTCATGACATGAAGCATCATTTGGAGACTCGTGTCGAGACATGTGAATATTCAATGCATTGACACGAGAGAAGCCGCCCTATCGGACCCCGAACGCTCCGTACGGCTAACTTTTCGAGATGAAGATGCGTGATCGTGCCCACGCATGGCGTATGAGCTTGTGGGAGAGGACAAGCACAGCCACGAAGGCTTAGGAGAGATTTACGTCACCCTCGCGAGAATATGGCGAGTGTCGTCTTCCGTTCGCGAGAGATCCCGACGTGCAATCGAGGACTCAGGCACCCACGGTCACTCGGAACAGCTATTTTGGGTAGTCGAAAACCTGTTCAGTGCTGGTCTTCGAAAGACTTGATCGTACAAGACGTCTCGGAAGTATCTGCGATATGGTACAAGGACTGCTTCAAAGCCAGTTATGCAGCGGTTCGCCGCAAGTGCCGCCAGCGAAACGCCTGGTATCATTGCACAGGAGGAGTACTGCTCCGACCCGCATCTTCCACACTGGAATGCTCGTTATCGCGGCTCCTCTCCAACAAATCCTGGACACTGTGAGCGCATTACTGCACGAGGCCCGGCAGCTCGTGGATCAGACTCTTTACATTCGTCTTGAGCCCGGATACCAGTGGCCTTGCAGGAAAACAATTTTCACATCGGAGGAGGTGTCCCTGCTTCGCGCGATCGTCTTGGATATTTACAGAGAGGTGAGTTCTGTCTACGTGACGTGAGGTAAATATCGTCCTCGAAAAGTGCTGAATAAGGAACTCAGGCGGTGTTTTTCATCAGGCGGCGAGAGAATGCAGCCATCTAGACGTTCGAGTTCTCCAAGGTTTCCTCAAGAACTCGGATTCGCGAACTAGCTCTCTTGACAAGAAGGTCGATGTCATCATCGCGCAAAACGACTTCGGTAAGTCTTCCGACGCTGCTCGGCTGCGATGGAGCAACTGGATATCCTGCTCCAGACGTTCCACGGAGAGAGAGATGTGGAAATCCCGGAGCGTTCCGCTGAGTTTCATCGACAAGCTGTCCTGAGTTCAAACAGGCCCAAGGAGAGAAGAAGTCGAGAAGCTCCCGACAAGAGACGGAATTTTCGGCGGGAAATCCCTTCGATAAAAAAAACAATCGCCGGCTTTGAAAGGATGATTTTGGCGATACTACGAGTTTTGGAAGTTCAGCGAACATGCTTTGTCGTCTTTAGTCGGGCCTTTGTTCCTGTAGCCTCCTCGTATCTCCTTCCATATCTCTGTGAGATCGAAGAGAATGCCGATCGACAAGAGCTGTTGATTCCATCGAGCGATCTGTGTCGGAAAACATGTTTTGCATGTTCATCGTACGAAGTCCACGGTTTTCCGCCTGTTTCCAACATTGTCCCCTAAAAAGACGCAGTAATCTTTGAGATAAATGTTACCAAATATGATCGCGGTGGATTCGCCTGAGAGCCGAGGTGGGCAGAGTTTTACAACTCATTCATGCGAATCGAGATCGCGCCGATCACAAGGGACAAATTATACGCGAAGCATGCGATGCGGTACTCCCTCGCTTTCGAGAAACGCTTGGAACTCAAACTCGAAATCGAGATCCCTGGTGGGAGCGTGGGTTTCCTTTTCGGAACCTGGGAGACCGAGAGCTGCGTGGACAGCTGATTGTGGGATGCCGAAATTCCTCAGAGCGCGGCTTCCTCGGACGCCTCGTTGCATGCCCGAATTCTGGTGACAAGAAGGGAAGAATCGTCCGACGTCTTCTTTACCAAGAGCTCCCCTTGCAGTACACCTCGAGGAATACGTGAGGGAACTTTTCGCTGTCATCCCAAGCGTGAGATTGGTCCCTCCTGTCATAGCTGCTTCGGGAACAGAAGATGCTGCGAAGGTTGTCGATTCGATTACTTTCGACAGTGTGTGTGTCGGGGGAACGTTTGACAGACTTCACCTCGGCCATAAACTTCTCCTCAGTGCCGCGGTCGCAAGAGCCACCGAGAGATTGGTGATCGGAGTCACCGATGGAGACATGATCAAAAGTAAGGAATCGTGCAAACGAATAAGATTGTCGAAAAGCTCGCGGGTCTACCGAGCTCAGAATCGGATCATCGTAATCATATTAAACGGAAGTCCGTTTGTATATCTGCGACTTCTCCCGTTCCAGGTAAAGTTCTGTGGGAGCTCATAGAACCCCTCGAGGTCAGGATGAGCGCTCTTCGCAAATGTCTCAATGACATGGACCCAACGTTGAAATACGATATTTTGCCAATCTATGAGCCTTTCGGTCCAACAATTCGGGATCGCAGCTTACAATGCTTGTGCGTGTCAGACGAAACCATCAAAGGAGGACTCAAGGTGAACGAAGAGCGCGCGAACAAGGTACATCATCGAGCTGAGACGGCTCAAAATGGATCGAAATATTGTCATCAAAAATAATCTTGCGATGGCTATCAGTGAGCAATACCCTCGATGCTTTCCAGGATTTCCCTCCTATGGCTCTCTTCAACGTCTCATTGCTACCAGAGCAGAACAAGATGGAGAAATTCATGGATGACAAGATCTCCTCGTCTTCGAAACGAATCGCTCTGCTAGGCGAAATCCTCCGCAAACCTCGGGCCCATCCGAGCTTCCCCGAATATCCTTTCGTCGTTGGACTCACTGGCGGAATCTGTGCGGGGAAGTCGCGTATACTCACGATATTCGAATCTCTGGGACTGACGTGCATTTCCGCCGATAAGTTGGGTCACGAGGCCTATAGTCCGGGTACAGAGCTGAATCAAATCCTCGTCGATACTTTCGGTACTGCTGTTCGCGCAGCAGATGGAACGATAGACCGAAAGGAGCTCGGTGCCATCGTTTTCGCGGACGCCGACAAGAGAGATCGGTTGAACCAGCTCGTGTGGCCTGAGATCGAGAAATCACTCCAGCGAGAGGTTCGTAAGCCTTCGGTTGTCTTGCGGGAGGAAATTCATCGATTATGTTGAGCTTCCATTCTAACATCGATAATTTCACAGATTGCAGGAGCTGGTAGAGCCGGGGCCAGAGTTGTGGTTGTCGAAGCTGCCTTACTGTTCGAGGCAGGCTGGGACCGTTTGGCCCATCTGGTGTGCTACACACTGATCTCAGAGAAAGAAGCCATCTCACGAGTGATGGTCAGAGATAAATGTGGATATGAGCTCGCCCTGAAGAAAATTCATTCCCAGAAGCCCGCCAAGATGTTCATAGATAGGGCCCACATGATCCTGTCATCCATGTGGGACGAACGAGCTACGGAGCAACAAGTGCATCGTGCCTTCGAGGAAATCGTGGATCACGTCCAAGGAATAAAAACGCATTCCGGATGAGCATTTCCTCAAATGCGCTCAAGTTCGACTGGAAGGCTTTGGCTTCATACGGGAACGGGATTTACATGACGAACGAGCAACGCGAGTCTCGCTCCGGGTTAATTACTCTCCTTAAGAGATAGTGACTTCATCGCTCGAATTCACGATGATGAGCTACGCAGCTCAACTTAAACGCTTAATTCTGTCTTAGAATAAAGTTTGGGAAGCTGCGGCCGCTCGGCGGTCAGAACCGGGAAAAGCAGAATCGTTCGAAAACCAACCCTTCGGACTTACGAAGTGAGGAAACGCGATACTTCGTATTTCGAGGGACAATCAATTTTGAGAGAAGGATATCAAGCTTTTGCGTGTGGGCAAAGATCCGGGAAACAGCATCTGCATACTGGGCGTCAGATGCATTCCAGGATTGGGATATTCCGAAATAATCCCATTTCGACGTTTCCTGTAATATCGAGATCGCATCCAACGCGGAATTAGCTGCATTTGGCGTCTCGTCACACACTCTTGCATCGGCGATCATGCGGGGTCCGTGGCTCGAAAGAAAGGATGAGGCCGAAGTCCTTAGGCGATGGGAGTCATTCCATCTCAGTTTTGAGCGTGAAGTAGTCAATTACTGCGAGACTTCAGTACGACGTGACCGAAGACTAGCGGGCGAAGACGAAGACCGAGTCCTGTCCTTACTCGATTTTTCCGCGTTGAGAGCTCAGGGTGCATCGATATCGGGGAATCGATCGAGGATAAGCCCAGCATTCCCACGCCATTCCGAGCTTTCGAGAGGATCACTCTTGGAGAGTTTCGATAGAGGCCTGGAGATAGGTACCCGCTGCTCGAGGTGCAGGAGTTCAGAGCCTCATGTCCTCCGGAGAGGGAATTTGTCCGCTCCCTCGGTTCATACATGTTCTTCTGAGCATTCAAATCGGAGTTCATGGGGCTCATCGATGTTGTAGACCCAAAACCCGCTGAAGTCGACAGCGCGGCACCCCGGGATTCGGGGCCGCTCCGCCGAATGGTGCAAGGTATTCTCGTGGAATGAGTGAGCGTTGAGGAGTCGCGGGGGGCCGCTTTGAGGGACGGTTCAGCCGTCATGGCGCACATCCTATTCTAATAGAGTTCCTCAGCAAGGGGGGCACCGGACCCATTCTTCCGAGAGCGCCACGATTGTACACCTCTCCGAAAGTTTCGGGGTCGGAAATGGCCGACTCATTGTCGGCAGCAGAAGAGCGAGAAACCCTCGAACCATGAATCTGTGCCTATCTCACCACTAAAAAGACCGCATTGCGCAACCCCTCTCGGGGCAATTAGATCGTAGCCGTCCGCGGACGAGCGAATGAATGTCTCTGATCGTGAAGCGATGGAGAGCTCACCCAATCGATTCGGCGGGGGGCTCACTCTGGGTTCTGGAAGATTCTTCTCCGAGACCCCGCGATCCCCCTACCGGAGGTTGCTGCTCCGATCAAGAATCAAGACCTGCATTTCGTGGAACAACACAGGCCGACGAAGAGACAAGGTGGGTTCGGTGTGCGGAATCCGCACTTCTCGACCTGACCGGACACATTCGCCCTCTGAAGCCGTCTCCCGGAGCAAAAAAATAGTCATCGCTCGAGACTTGAGACGCTGAGTCCGGGCTGAGGGGTTCCAGTCGAAGTATCCTTCCGGATAGTCACTGCGCCAGAGAGAGAGAGACGGAGAGCGACAAGGGCAAGCTACAGTCGAAAACTATACACGTATCGTCAGGAGCATGCTATGCCTGTCATCGTGCTGCAATGATTTTGCGAAGAGCTGAAGACGAATTCTTGCGCTTCTGGCTGAACGTTGAGTTCGGGAATTGAATCGATATCCCGTCTACTCGGCTCGGACAGTGTGATCTCGATGAGGAGTATCCTCTCGAAACGTAGGCTCAAGTATTTTGCGACTCTCGCTCGCTCTGTTGAGTTTACCGAGAGCGTGTCGCTCGTTCCTGAACATCAGGCCTGTCGAACACTTTCAGACCGAAGCTGATCGGAATTCCGATGTGACGCTGCCTCATTTGATGTGACCGCAATCGATCGAATCATGGTTCAGGCCCGATTCGTCCGGTTCAATTTGTCGCCTCCGCACCACTCTTCTTTCATGGTTGCCGCCGATACTTCGTCGACCGGAAGTTAGGGACCTGACCGTGCCTGGGTGGATCTCACCGTTTGTCTCCTGGCCATCTCGAAAGAACTCCATATCCCGCGCTCCTTCCTCAACCTCCTTCATACGACCACGTCAGTCAGACTTTTATGGAATAGAATGAAATTTCGAGGAACCTCTAATGGAAGTCCAAGAACGGGAGGGGGCCGTACAGAGGCCAATGACGGGGGTCCATGCCCAAGGGGAACGCGAGGGAACAGGTCGGACCGGGCTCTACGCTCGATCTGTTCACGGTTCCTTTCTCGGATCCAGGTATGAGGGAGTTTACGAATATAAGGCACATGGATGCACGGAGTCCCGGCTTTGATTCGGAAGTCGATATCTCTCCTCTTTCTTCTCCGCTGCGGACCAGTTGGGCCGCGGTCCCTCGAGGCAGGTTGATGGGGTCTGGACTGGGAGAAGCAGTCCTCTAAGACATCAGATCGGAGAAACCGAAAATTCTCCTTTTCCTTCTATACTTAGGTGAGAAACGCCGGTCTGACTCGTGTTGGTAACGGCTCCGGTGATGCCTCGGATTCGATCTCGAGGACGCCCAATCTTCACATCGTAGTACGACCATCGCTTTCTTAGACTTGGCTGAGGACCCATATACATATATCGTGAAGAGTCGTCTGCGACATTTGTCGGCTACAGACCGAATTCATCCTTTGATGCTGTTTCCCGAGACCCTCCGATGAGCTGTGAGCTACTCGGAGGGTCTCCTTCGAGAAACCATGGGGGAATGTTGGAGGGAACCTGATTTCCCCATCAATAGAAGACTGATTGAGTCAATTGAAGGAGGCACGAAAACGAACAATCTTCCATCAGATCGCTCATTGAATCATGTAGAAATGGGGTCGAGACGCGATTTCCGAGAACTCGACTACGAAGCTGCATAGTTTGATCGAAGCTCTGGACTTCTGAAGAGACTTCGCGCTGCAAGAGAATGAGCTCCGCCCATTCGGAGCTTAACGGTCTACGGGACCCCGGATGAGGACGCATTGAACCTCCTCGTGAGTGAAAGGCGCTTCCCCTTCTTTTCATGTACTTCAGATCAACCCCGAGAGAACGTCGCGTTCGAGCTGCGTTCATTCTGGCACCACTGCTCAGAGCTTCAGCTGCGTTTGATATCACAGCCGGAATCCCTTGAATCTGCTGATCCATACTTCCGAAAGCCGGGGCGGTCCCGCTTACTCTGACCATGTGGAATCGTTTATTCGCCAGCATTGCTTCCCGCCTCGGATCCATGATATCTTCCGACTTCGGCGCGGCTCATCTGATGCTTTTTGGATTTCTCTGTCTCGTGGTTTCCCGACAATATAGGTTTTTGTGGGTCGTGCTCTTCACAGCTCGTCGTGATTTGAGGTGAGTTTCTTGCGCTGGTTTGACAGTCTAATGGTGATGCAGGTCGAGACCATGGAGGGCGAATCTTCGATTCCTAAGATTTCACATCGGAGAAGGGGGTCACGTCGGGCATCATTCATTCCGTCACGCTCTGACTCAAACTTCCTACGGGAGCTTCCCTCACGTTATCTCCTTTTCTCAATGTTCGAACGCGACCCATGGCTCGCTAGGAAGGCAGAAAAAAACAGCCATACTGCAGGACGCTTTTGGGCTTTCGAGCGAACGCAGCTTCCTAATACGACAATCCTATTCTTTGTGCAGAGGTCTCCTTCGACTGATACGTATGACGCTATACTTCCGTGAGGCCCGAAGGAAGGATCTCACCGTCGTTCGAATTTTCGAAGAAACTGTCAAGAGGAATCCCGATAAAATCGCGTTCCGAACAGGAGACAGACAGTGGACGTTCCGCCAGGTAGGTTCACCTCCGATCGATAGCCTGGTCCCTGATCTCAGTCATAACTTCTGAATAGAAGACCCTCTCTCGAACTTGTGACGTCGTCCTCAGCGGCATCGATACCGTTCGGCATGCTGCTTGGCAAAAATTCTGGTCATTGATTCTGAAAATCCTGTGCTCCTCTCCTTGTTCAGGTCAAAGGGATCATCAATCGCATTGCAAACTGTTTTCTGCAACTTGGCTTCAAGTCTGGCGATGAAGTCTGTATCTTCGCAGACTCTCAACCCGAGTTCGTGATGATGTGGCTGGGCTTGTCCAAGATCGGGGTTGTCTCCGCGCTAGTGAATAACAACTTACGCTCGCAACCTCTGATTCATTCTCTCTTGAGTGTTCCCTCCAAGGCCATCATATTCGGCCTCGCCCAAGTCAAAGGTAAGCGAAGCCGAAGATTCGATGCTCCGTACGGGCAGGGGAACTGCCGCATTCGGTTCGACTAGATTCTCCGAGATGTCTCCCGGCAATGAACGGCGCTGGGTTACTCCGCCGTCGACTGTTCATTCCCCTGCAACCCGCACCCCCCCCCCCCGCTTTCCCCGCTTAGCCTCGTCAGCAAGATTGATTCCTTATACACTGAACCGTCATCTGCGTGATCACTGATCATCCCCCACCTCAAATTGACATTCTTCCCTTCGGCAGAGGTCAACGATGTCGCAGCCGAAGTCCTGCGCGAAAGAGCCGAATTCAAATTTTTCTGCATCGGAGCTGCCGAGAACGCCTCCAGGATCAACTACATGAACCTCAAGAAACTCATTGGGAGCAGTCCATCAACAGAGCCTCAGACAAATCATAAAGGATCCCTGAACGGTGAGCATCGCCCTCCTATCCGTCGATTGGCCGGCGGGGAGATTCAAAAGGAGGAGAATCAATGCGCCTTGGCCTCAGATCCGTCCGTTTCCCACACCGTCAGCCCTGAGATAGATTCAAATTGTGTCCTCTGATCCAAAATAAGATAATTTCTCTGGAGCAGATAAACTCGTTTATATCTACACATCTGGGACCACCGGAATGCCCAAACCCGCCGTCATCAAGAACTCTCGTTTCGTATCATTGGTCTCGATCCTCAATAAGATCATGCCCGTGGAGCAATCGGATGTGTTTTACACCTGTCTGCCGCTTTATCATACGGCCGGAGGCATTGTCGCGATCGGCCAAGCCCTTCTCTTCGGTGAGTTGATCGAGCGTCCTCGAAGAGGGGGACAAGAAGTTTCACGGTTGGCATCTATTGAGATCGCCTGAAATCTGAAATGCATCTCCTTAAGTGTCGACTCTTCTCGCTTGTAGGGAATACCGTTTGTGTCCGCCCGAAATTCTCGGCGTCGAAGTTTTGGGAGGACTGTATCAAATTTGAAGCGACGGTGACACAGTACATCGGAGAAATCTGTCGGTATCTCATCGCTCAGCCGGAAACGCCTCTGCAGAGAAAACATAAAATTCGGATGATATTCGGGAACGGTCTCCGACCCCAAATCTGGACTGAGTTTTCAAAGAGGTTCGTATTATCTCTGGAATACGAACTGGCCAATATTCCGTCAAAGATTGGAATATTCCGTCAAAGATTGGAATATTCCGTCAAAGATTGTTCTGAGAAAATGTTTTGCAGGTTCAACATCCAAGATATTCGAGAGTTCTACGGCTCAACAGAAGGCAATGCTCATGTTATAAATATTGACAACACCGTCGGCGCGGTCGGCTTCGTATCGCGCATCGTCAAGAGCATCCATCCCGTGCGTCTCATCCGTATCAACTCGGATACTGGTTTGCCCGAGAGAGATGCCAGGGGTTTGTGCATACCGTGCGAACCTGGAGAGATCGGGGAGCTCGTAGGGGTGAGTCAGCTGTCCGATGATCGAAGAGCTCAGAACTGGAGCGGCACCACACCTTCATTTCCAGAGGGAGATACTTCGAACGGGGGCTTGACATAAGTTGGATAGAGCGTGGGATACCGATGTTGATATTGATGCTCTCACCTCTTGCTGAGAACTCTTGCTGTCGAGATACCGTGAGACTCAATGAGCCCTCTCCTCGTCTAGGAAATCCGCAAGAACGATCACCTCCATTCATTTGATGGCTACGCTTCCGATGAAGCTACGAAAAAGAAAATCTACAGGAATGTTTTCGGTGAAAACGATGCCGCATTCGCGTCCGGGGACTTATTGGTCATGGATGAGTACGGATACCTCTACTTCAAAGATCGAACCGGAGATACCTTCCGATGGAAAGGCGAGAACGTCTCGACGTCAGAGGTCGAAGGGACAATATCCAGGTACGCTACTTCCGGGAATGACACTCACCACAGTGTGTTGATGAGCGAAATGAGCCTTGCGTGTCGCGACGAAACTTGAAAAAAATGTTCTCTTCCAGAATACTGAAGATGGCGGACGTCGTTTGTTACGGAGTTCAAGTTCCTGGAACCGAAGGCAGAGCCGGAATGATCGCCGTGGAAGATCCGTACGATCTGATTCATTTGAATTCCTTCGTTGATGAAATCAGATCCAGTTTACCGGCATACGCCGTTCCGCTATTCGTCCGCAAACTAAGGCGACTCGACAAGACGGGTGAGTTTCAATGAGTTCAGCAGATCGAAACAGGGAGGGATAAGTTCAGAGGGAGAAGTCGACGCCCACCCTCCTCGGTGCTCGATGGGTGAGATGTCCTGTAGCTCTGCAGCACGGGGCGATATAGCGCAGAAACTCACCGGATTGCTTCCACAGGGACGTACAAGCTCAAAAAAGTCCAACTGCAAAAAGAAGGATTCGACATCGAGGAGATCGAGGAGCCCATCTACTTCCTGCAGGGCGACACCTACGTTCTCTTAGACGAAGCAACACTGAGGAAGATACAGCTCTCACAGATTCGCATTTGAAGCTGGATCCGGATCCCCCTCATTATTAATATACATATGACCCTAAGTAAGAATGCATAGTAAAATATTCTCCCACATATTGATGGTTGTTGTTGTCGATGATCGTCATCAAGGCAATCGGATCCGCAGAGCCGATAAGGGTATGATACAAGTTGTTTGCGCTTCCGGGAGGGTGAACTAAGAGACATTCGTTCAAAAATTGTACTCACGGTCGTATCTCGAGGACATCTTACAAAAGACACCGGAGATCCCGGTCCCCGATCGGGCGATTCTGAACGGAGTCTAGCGAGAGAGTTCCCAACATGGGATCCCCGGGCAAGCGCCGGATTGTATCCTCTTTCAAGGAGCAAGTTCTGATACGTTCCTCTGATGTAGGTGTGAACTATTTCGAATAGTCTCGACTTTCTGAGCTTCCCTCTTGGTCGGATCATTGCACCCGTTTGTGAGACTTCGATACATCTTCTCGAAGCCTTCCTTCAAATCAGGCAAGCGTAATCGCTGAACCACGCCATCGGGCGTATGGTTGAGACCCCAGAAGCTTCCCTGAGATGCTCCCCTGCCGCTGCAAGGATCTTGTGCGATTCTCCCATCGTCTGGGATCCGGCACTCCAGACGATGCTTCTCGAGGCCGTTCACCTACATTGGTAGAACATTCATCCGTGAATCATTTTTCGCTCATATCGATTCCGCCAACTTCATTCCCTTTGATATTCTCCTCATCGGCAGCCGAGTCGGGAGCTCCAAATCGATCGAAGAGAGGTTCGAGCAAGCTCTGCCGACTTCGAAATCCGAGAGGCAGTCTTTACCAATCAGACGGAGACTGGAACTCTGGAATCGTCGCCACGAAGTTCCGGCATAGGTGGAAATCCCAACGTGCAATTTTCACGAGATTACGGTGAATACCTGAGCCCGAGTTGGTCCGTCGGTGACATGCGAGCGGGAAGAGACCCATGGAATCAATTCCTCCGAGAAATGATGGCTCTGCGATCTCCGATGTGATGTCGAGTTCAGCACCTACGAGCAGTAAATTTGCAAGGACGAAGTTCGACATATCTGAGCTAGTAGCTAGTAGGCGAAATCGGATAATCTGATAAATTGGATAAAATCAGAGTGCGGTCTTATCATCCGGATAAGGAATGCCATGCTTCCTGGCAGGGTCAGAGATCGTCCGCTGCGAGCCCTACTCTTGGTGCGTGAGATCGAATCGACTAAGCGAAATCTGCAGTTTCTGTATCAAAGAGAACGAAACTTGTCGAACCTGCACTGAATGCTCGCTTGTCGTATACTGCAGCAAGAAATGTCGGGTACGATTCCCCCGACGATTTTTGAGCACACATCGAAGCAGCAAACGATAGCGATCACTCAACATCCTCTTGCTCGATTTGGGCGAAAAAATGATTCACGGACGCGTGTTCTACCAATGTAGGTGAACGACCTCGTGAATCATCGTCTGGAGTGCCGGATCTTGTCGTCAGTCAAGGAGACGTTGGATACCAAGGCCCGTTTCTGTATTCGGACAATCTCAAAGGGAAAATGGGAGAACTCGAGGGGTCTAATCTCTCGCGGGGAGACGTTCAAGAAGAGGTTCTCAGACCTCCTGGCTCCGCTGATGGTTGGGGACCGAGAAAAAAAATTAGGGAAGCGAGGAAGATCTACGCTTTGATAAAAGATCTCGTGGAGGTCAAGCTTTCCGAAGTCTTCATAACCATGCTCAAGCTACAAGTCAACTCGCTCGTCGTCGAAAACTACAAAGGAGCGCCACTGGGGCGCGCTCTCTATCTCGACCAGACCGAGTTCGAACACAGCTGTGAAGCAGAATCCATGATAAGCGTTTTTTACGAAGGCAGAACATTAGTCATGCTCGCTCGGAAAGACTTCAGGGTCTGTTCTCTGGACAAGATTCAAATGTCCCTGGTTCCTAGAAGCTTGCCGGTGAAACGGCGTCGGGCGCTTCTCGCCCGAGAATTCTACCTCAGATGTGAATGCGCAGCTTGTTTGAAGGAGCTACAGATGTCCGGGAAAGAAACAACCTATGAGCGAGGCATACGAGATTTACTCTCAGCTGACGTGCCGATGGGGGATAAATTCCGAAAGATGCTGGAGGTAGTTCCGGATTGCGACACCAAAGTTCATCCCTACTATGTGTCGAAGATTTACGGGAACCTTGCCTCGTACTCGAACAGCCTGAATTGCTTCGTCGACGGCGTCAAATACGCCGCAAAGGCTCTCAGATATGAGGCAGATACGCGCCATGCCTCTATTTTGTTTGAAGAACTCTTATTCGCCATGACCCAACTGAAGTGTAATGACGTCGGGGCAACCGATTTCTCCTTATTCCTCGACGCCTTGCAGTCTTATAAAGAATTGCTCGAGAGCCGTCTGGGCAAAGATCATGCCGAAACGAAGAAAATACGTCGACTCTACCTATTGTATCTGGCGCGTTCGTTTATGCGCTCTAAGGCGTCCATATTCCATGAGACCCTGCGTAGAACACTCGCTTCGATGGGTTCGAGACTATTGCTCATCGCGAAGGCCGCTGTGAGAGGCGAGGCCGGACTCGCCCAAAAAGTCGCTCGCGCGCGATAACATCCGGACGAGAACATGACTCTATATTCGTGAATTCTGTCGTCCTCGCTCAACTCTATCTCACTGTCATAGCACCAACGAGGCTCCGGCGAATACGGAAGTCGGGAATCTGATGTATGAAGAATACTTGACGGGCTCTGCCTTTCTTCGGCTTGCAACCGGATACGCGCCAACCAGGGATCCGGAATCGAAGATATAATAAGGTAGATCAGCATTCAGCCATTAGCAAGTCTTCTCCTGGGTCCCGAAGTCACCTGAAAATTTTTGATCGTTTGACCGCGTGCGGGGAAGAGTTCTGTAATTCGCAGGTTCATCGAGCCGATCCAATATACCGACCGAAGAACTCCCAAGCGTAAGAGAAGAATTCGCACCATGGTCTATTAGTAACGGAATCCTTCTCAAGGGTCCGGAGATTTTCTGAAGGAATCAGTAATTTCGAAAGTTGAGGATAGAGGAGATTTTCTTAGATCGGTTCGGACGCGGAACGACCTACCGTAGCCGGGCTCCTCTCTACGTGGGGGAAAATGCGGCTCTCCAGACAGGCACCGACTTTTCAGTAGCTCTTAGAATGGAATCAATCGTTCCAAAGATCGGGTTGATTGAGTCATGTCATATCATTGGTTCCGACACGGCGTGTGACAGCCCCAGAATCAAGAGCTGAGAAACCGATCACTGTGAGAGGAGTTCCCGTTCCTCGGTGAGCGATTGCTGCGAACTGGGCATGGGGGTGAGGAAGACGTCTTATAATGGAAGACATCCGTATGTGGCAATGTGGACGATTGTGGACTGGAATACGATCCTCTCTGGTCTGTCTCCCCCACCGAAAAGTCCGAGCAGCCATATCCTGGGCTCTCCATCGCCATGCATTTTCCGAAACGGTTCTTCGCCTGGCGCAGGCGGCCTGGGCATGTGTGGAGAGAATCATCATAATCAATAATGAAGTTATGTCTCAAAATTCCCCGAATGTGCAAAATTACTCGAGTCATGGAATGAGGTGATTGGAAGATTTTCCTAAACATGAGCGTGAATTCCGTCGGGGATCCTCCTGTCTTCCTCCCGAAATCGGAGCGCAATCTAGGCCACATTGTTGTCGCTGAATGATTCGGTCTAGTGGGCGATCCGGACTCACGGAGCCCCTTCTGACCTCAATGCTCTCACAACTTATCAATGCTACAGAATGCCGAGAAGAATCCCATGCCGAACTCTCTCATTCCAGTTACGCAATGGAATCAAACTTCCCGTCAATCCGAGGGGCCGAGAAAAGGGAGGTGTCTCCGGATTCCCGACCCCGAGTGAGTTTCCTTTTCGGGCTCCTCATACGTTCGTTATCTTCGAAGGAGTTTCTCGATGCTAACGCCGAAGCCTCGATCCCGCAGGACACCTGCGGAGAATGTTGCAGCATAATAGCTGATTGCCTCTGCAGAATGAGCAAGATGAGAATGTTCAGCGACATATTCGACAATGATATGAGATTTCTGAAGGATAGAATCTCGAAACCCAAATCACAATCCGAGATCTGCGGGGTGGACGATGAGACAAGACCTTTCATATGCGCTATCGAGGAAGCACCAAAATTCCAGACGACCAACAGGTGGGCTATATCGGAAAGTGAATACTGTCCGAGGCTGACCGAAACGTAACGGACATTGGAATCTGATCAGCCCGCCCCGCAGGTACATCACCGGAGGCTATCGCACTTGGAAGTCGCGAGAAAGCTGCATCAAAGGCATACTGCAATGGACTAACGAAACCATCAATATTTGGTCGCATCTCGGTCCGTTCATCGCTCTGCTATTTCGTTATGCACAAGACATTCTGCACAATTTCGACGAAGCCAACTTCGAGCCTTTCGACAAGAAGCTCTGCAGCCTGATGATATTAGCCTACGTGACGATGTTTGGGCTCTCTTCGATCTATCATGTATTCAATTGCTGCTGTTGCGATTGCTACAGATACTGGTGAGTTCATACGGGGTAAATGGGATGTCTGTCCACCTCCATCCTATCGGGATTGATTCCGGGTCCCGGCTGGTACCGGGTCGTGAAGGTAGGTTCGAAACACGATAAGGCGGGAACAACCGAACTACCCGAGCAGTCTTTCCATCAGCAACCTGTTTATCAGATTGCAACCAAATTCTTAAGCGGAACCTTGACTGAGTGATTCCACTGGGAGGATGGAACAGCTCTAATCATATGGACCGCATGAATGCTTGGAGTCATGTGCAGCTGCATCGATACGCGTTAAATAACCATCGCGAATTCTTTCATTGCGACCTTCTTGCGTCATCTACAGGTATGGCTGGGACTTCATCGGAATCTGTGGGTCAATTTACGCGTACGGGACGGGATTTTTGTTTCTCCAGTTCAGAGACGCTCCTCATTGGATCCCTCTGTATGCCGCAATCAAAACCATAATCTTGGCGGTTCCAATCATTATGCTCTTTCACGAGGAATATCGTGATGAAAAGTAAGAGGCAGCTTCCAGGCTATTCGGGGATCTCCTGCGAGCGAGTATCCCTCATTCCGCTCGACATGTTCTCCAAGCGTCTCCTCTCCGCAGATACGACGACCATCGTGCCGTGGGGCTTGGAGTATTCGTGGTCTTCAATACGATTCCCACAGTGCACTCGATCGTTCTGAGAGGGGGCTTGGACAGTCCCGTCGTGAGAGCAACCCTGCCGACTCATCTGCTTTGTGTGGCTCTATTGGTGGGAAGCTTCATCGTCTACGCTTGCCAGTTCCCGGAGAGGTCTGGGCGGGCTACGGGAATAACCTTTTAGAGATTCCCTTAAGGACAACTGCCCTTCCCTTATGGCATTGCATTTCTACAAATCTCCGTAAGTTTCAGATTCTTACCTGGACGAGTGAACTACATTGGGAATAGTCATCAGATATGGCATATCGGAACAGCGACGGCTGTTTTCCACGCCCGTCATTTGTATTTCCAATACGTCAGGGCTCTCAGTGGACTCACCTGAGTTCGGGTGTTCGACGAAACGGAGATGGCATTCTCACCAAAGGAGGTCTCCAAATTCTTATCTGACGCTTCACGAGAACGTAAGTGCGGCACGCAGATTCGCTGCTTGATTCGGGCATAAGCCGAATGTAAAAGCGAGCGGACTGCAATCCTGACAGCCTCGGGGTACTGGTCCCATCTCCGATCCCATCCCATCTCTCAGAGTCTCTGATAAAGACAGCACATATGGAAACGGCTCTCGTCAGTCGAGCACGATATGTTTGAGTAAATGGCATAGCTCAAAATTCCTGCATTGTTCGAGAGGCTACCTAGTATCTCGCCAACTTCCGCGATATTCGAGCAGTCCGCTTGAGCGAGGCAGAAGCTACGATCCGCAGGAGCGCTACAAGTCGCGACTAGAATGCTCCTTTCGTGGATTCCAGAGGCTTCAGCGGAAAGCGGCCCTAGACGAAATTATCTCACACAAAGATCGGGGGACCCATATCTCACCAATCGATGAGATGCCAAGTCCGGTGGGGACGATCGGATGATGACCGGTTCCCGGGCTCGTTGTATCGGCGCGGTTCCTGTGAAGGGCGGACCGGGGTTCGGGAGCCGCATCGGGGGCTATCGGCTCTGCTATCGATTTATTCAAGTTCGAGTACCACATTATCGAGATCATCATTGGATCAGTCAGGAGAATTGATCCTACGTCTCTGCGCAACAGCCAGCGAGATCCGACTACAGAGCCCGCAGCCGCGCTCCGGATCCCACGTCCGCTAGGACAAAGAAAGCTCCGTCGGAGAAAGAGCTCGAGCGTGTCCATCGATAGCAGTAATATCGAGTCCACAACTTTTGCCGGGATCCTAGCGAATAGACTTCTCATGATGATTGGTTTCACTTCTGGTGTACTCTTGATTGTACTCTTCGTCTTCAAATTGAAGCTCATCCAAGTTCTACGAGAGTCCTCTAAGTAGACTGAGCGTTCAAGATCGTCCCGAGGAGGGCTAATAGGGCGGCACTAGAAGTGGGTAAATCCGGGTCCATTTGTTGCGAAATTCCGCTTATTAGGGGGGCTAAGCCCCTTGACACCGAAGTCACGCTCTGCGACAGCCCCTGAAGGAGCCCGGTATCGCCGCCCGTGCCTCGACGCAGAAGAGCGTCAAGTCCGAAAACCCTTGCGAGGCTTGCGGAAGCCGTGAAAATTACCAGAAGCAGGATCAGGCTTAGCGAGCTGCTCGTCAAACTCAGGAGTACGAGACTGGCCGCCATGACGGCACTGGAAGCAACCAGCAATCGAACGCTATCTACTCTGCAGATATCGATGATGGGGCCGACCACAAAACCCGACCCCGCAATCAAAGCTCCAATCAGTGCGGTGACGTAAGCGAGTTCCTGCGCGGTCAGCGAGTGCGCCGTCATCAGATTGAAACTCAAGTTACTCTTGAACAGGATTACGGCCATCGTGACCAGCAAGCGTCCCCTGAATCAATCCCAACACCTTGGCCAACTCACGCATCGGCAGACAGCGTCTACTGACAATGGTGCGGATTCCGGTCGTCGCGGGGTGCTTTTCTTCGCCGTATAGTCCAGAAGACAGACTTGAGCTACGACTCCTGATAGCGTGAATAGGATGGCGGCCGTCAAGCAACCGTACTCGAAGAGGCCACAATGCGAGCCTATCAAGGGTCCCAAAATGGAACCGGCACTCGAAATAGCGTTGAATCGACCCATCATCGTGGCTTGTTTCGCTTCCGGAGTGATATCGTAGGGGCAAGCCTCGCACATGGCATTTATGCTTGAAGAAACCGAGTACGCTCCTCAGGATGAAGAACGGGATTATAGTGTCGAAAAACAAGAATCCACTACATACGAATCGTGATAGGTACACGGAGAGGAGTAGAATTCTTTCGCGACCATGCACATCGCTGTAAACACCGAGCAACGATTCGCTGAACGTTTGCACAGTACCGTCTGTGGTTCCAGCGAGACCGTAGATGAATGGTAAATAGCCTTTGTTTCTGAAGTTGACCGTGAGCAGAGGATTGATGATGGCGACAGCGAATGAATCTACGAAGCCCAGAACAAACAACATCCGAATCGCGAATGTGGTCATTCCCATCGCGGATCTTCGAATGAGATAAGGTTTGCACGACGAACCCATCTAAGAGTTCCGCCGCAATCGTGCCGGCTGCGAGCTCCACGAGCATGACTTCTGGTCGCTCTTGTGTGAATTTGAGCGACGGAAACCCTTCTCAATGCGATCGTTCTCTGCAGCAAGACGAGGACGACGCTAGTAGATTTCCTGGGTTGATTTTCTCTCATCTTTCGCCGAGAAAATTCGTCCCTTGGTTTTTCGCATATTCCACTGAATGCCTATGTCGATGTCTTCTCCTGAGTCAGCCGATCCTGATACTCGACCTTTTCTTGTTGTCGGAACAAGGGAGCCAACGGAACCGCATCGGGATCACGACGGATCACACAATTCAGGTTTCAATTCTCCGCCGCTAAGAGACGTGATTCGATGGCTGCAAAAAGCCTGGAGACTCGTCTCGCAGCCATCAAAGCCTTCCATCGTGACACAGTCCGGCGTCCAGCGCGATATGCCGTCGAACATCTTCACTCGACGATCAGACAGCACCGAGGTTTGAGTCACCGCTAATCTCAACTCGCTCATGCGCTCGACCGAAAAAATGCTCGCCACCCTCAGGGAGAAGATCAAGAGGGAACTAAAGGACAATCAAATGTTCTCCGTCATCTTCACCCACGTCGACGAGCCCGCGAAAGGCTCATCCTTCCACGAAAATTTTTCCGTCTCCTTATCGGACGAAACCCTGGAGTCGCTCAAGCTCGACTGGCCCAAGTTTCCGAGAGGCCATGAAATGTTCTTCCATTCGCTGGATACAGGCCCCGGAGTCGACGTGAACTCGATCTTCACGAATAAATTCCGGACCGTGATGCCGAACAAGACATCTGATACTTTCGGCCACGAATTCATTGTGTCGGACTCAAAAGTTCGCGGTCAAAGTGGTCTGAGGCATTTCGACGGTTTCGTTGGACTCTTTTCGTCCTCTGCAAGAGCGTGGACGGATAGAGTCATCACTCTGAAGTCGACGCAATGCTGAAGTCCATCCTGACGAGCGCGGGCTGGGAGTTCTCCAATTGAGTCTCGTGGTGTGATCCTGTTGTGATCCAGTGTGCTCCGACGCGGCTTGAAACCAAAATCGAAAAATGATTCAAGGAACCACCCGATTCCGGCCAAACTATCAGCAGAGATCATTCAGTACCTTCATGGTAGACACCACTCACTCTCCCAACTCCCAACGGCGGATTTCGGTTGGGAAGAAAGGAATTCTGAGTGGTGGTTTTTGTTGGCTGAATGACAGTTCATAGGCACCAGGGAATATCGATTTCACGTACAAATCGCGTGGCCAGTCTTGTATCCGAAACTGAAAGAAATCAATACCGATGCTAACGTTCTTGGAATTCATGTGCCGCCAACAACACTGAAATGGGAACGAAGCAATGCATATTTTCGAAAAATGAGGACTTTTCCCTGTATGCAGCGGCGGGCCGTGTCGGAAGATCGCCCGGAAGATGACTCAATATTTCTAGCTTCCCTGAACGCGGACGACGAAGATGTCGCTCCTCGCACTTTTCCGGGGAAAAGATCCTGTTCCTCGGAAGCAAAAACCCAGAATGCCGACCCTCAAGGCTCAAATAAAAGTACTGTGCGTGGCGGACCTCTTCCCGCCTCCCCAACGGTCTGCCGCTGATTCAACATTGAATGTGCATGAGGGGCATCATAAAGAGGGGCTCGATGATGATCACCATTGTGGTTCTGATTTTTACCATAATCATGTAATCTTGAGCCCATAATCAGAAGTACGATTATGATGATCCCATGATTATAACCATAAATGTGAAACATTATGAACTAGCCGATCATTCGGCAAAGCTTCGACGTGCGCGAGGGGTGTTTGGGGTCGCTTCCTACGTGCACGCATGAAGTCCTCCAATGTCTTCAATCCTGACGCTCGTGTCGCCCTTCAGAATCCATACGATCTTCGTCCAAGCGCGCTCCACCAGCCCCAGAGTGTATAGAGATCGCGGACGCAGCGCAACTACGAAGTCATCGCTCTCGTCAAGCTCTAACTAGAGTGGCATCATGGCTCTGATTGCACGTCAGACAAATCCCTTGCAAAGCTTAAAGCTCGCTGTCCGAGTGGCCGGACAGAGCCCCTTTTCGGCCGTTCTCCTCGAACCCTCAAGAGATCGAAGAAGAAATCAGGCAAACGAAAA